GTGATGATCCCAGATGAATTAACCATCAAGATGAATATTTCATGAGGAAGAGGCTTTGGAAGAGGGACCATTATGTTTTGTCACTTCACTTTGTCTTCTCTCTTTCTCTATTCTAATTACCTGCCCTTACATGCCTGGGCATGTTTTTTATTGTCACATTTAATATCTTGGTTGGTTAAAATCTATAATCTTAAAATGTCTCAAAACATACTTCTACAATTCTTCTCAACTTCTTGATAGACTAGGGGCCTTGTATTACCTGGATATTATTATTCTTATTATTGATAATACTATTATTGTTATTATTGATAATACTATTATTGTTATTATTGATAATACTATTATTGTTATTATTGATAATACTATTATTGTTATTATTGATAATACTATTATTATTATTATTGATAATACTATTATTGTTATTATTGATAATACTATTATTGTTATTATTGATAATACTATTATTGTTATTATTAATAATACTATTATTGTTATTATTGATAATACTATTATTGTTATTATCATTATGTACCTCCATGTTGCAAAGTATTTTATTATTTGTGAAGTATTCTGCTCTGCCATAACTGGCTCAATCATTATTGATATTGGAAGAAAAAAAAATGGGAATGTAACAATTGATTAATTATTTGTATCACATCACTTCATGAAATTCAAATTTTTCCTTATTTCTGTGGAAAAGTCTTCATTAAACTCAGGGAAATATTTATCATTTTATGTTTTGAGGCATTTATTTCAAAATTCTGTTTGGATATTTTGCTACCTTTGACTGATTGCCTGTTCAGAGCAAAAAAGGACATTACTGTACCTCTTTCTGAAATAAAATATGTTGAAGAAACATTTTCTAGCTTTCAGGAGATACCTGTAAATATTGAATCCTACTGTTGTGTACAGAATATACAATCATATGGCATCCAAAAGGTGAATAGTTAGAAATAGATTGGTGTTGGCTGCAAAGAAGTTCTTTCCTCATCACACTCATGACTGTGTCTCTATCTAAATCACCTTCATAGAGAGGTCTCTTTCCATCTCATTAGCTTGTGACATTTAGCTGTGATTAGAGTTACATGTAGTATCTTCTCACTTCATACAATTGCTCTGTCTTTCATTAGCTGGCTTTAACCTTGTTCATACACAAGGTTTGCATGGGTTGACCCTGGATTAATCCACACCTGAAAGTTTTAAATATGAAGTGTATCCACATTCTTTTCTCTCTACTTTTACACTCTACACTTAGTCGGCACTCCGCACTTGCTCCACACCTACTCCACACTTACTTTGAACTTACTCTGTACTTACTCTATACTTACTCTGTACTTACTCTATAATTACTCCGCACTTACTCTGCACTTACTTTGAACTTACTCCACTCTATACTTACTCTATACTTACTCCATGCTTACTGCACACCTGCTCATCATTCACTCTGCACTCCTCAAAACATTGAAATTTTAAGTGAATCTGTAGCTGTAAGTAGCTTGTTGTAGATGAAATATATCTGAATAACCACATTCAGAGTAAAACAAAAGAACATGGCAAATAGATTGTTGTTAGGGTAATGTTGTGTGGTAAATACAAATAAATGGATACTGGTAATACCGGTAGCTTTACTTAAAAATGCCCACAGTTTAGGGTCATTTGGAATCATGAGGAATTTTTTTGGGGTCCCCATTTAACCATTTTGGCCTCAAGTATGAAAGCAGCATCGTTGGGTAATCACCTTTCGATCAAGTCTCAGCCCTACAGATTGTTACTTGTCTGCGCCTGCTTGCTGCTGAGGCATGTTGTTGCATGGCAGTGATAATAATGACGACTTTGCCTACCTTCGCGTGTCATCTAGTGATTAATAGTGCAGGGATTGATAGAGTTTGGCTTCAGTGCTTGATAGGTCACCTACCCACAAGAGCCGGCCAAGACGTCTTAAAGGGCCTGTCAAAAGCTATGTTATGAAGGATCCTTTAAATGATACATAAAGCTTCTATACATGTCTGAATTACATTATGACCCCATCATAGAGCTGGAGTTTAGTATTTGAATGACACAGAGAGAGTCTTTGGAATTCTGAATTACATCACAAACTCCTTGTATTGTATACAATCACAAGTGCATGAGAATTTAACAAATTTTGAATATTTGTATATACAAACATATTAGTTGTGAAGATATGTATACCTATGTTCATTCTTGTGGTTTACTCTGATGAGTGCAAGCTTCAGTAACTGTCTTTGTTGCTATCCAAAGAAACAAGTATAAGAATGGAAACAAAACATAATCCTTTCCTGGTTTTCTCGAAGAATTGTGTATCAAGTCCAAAGTTTTCAATTAATAATTTTCAATTCAGGTACAGGAGACCATTTTGTAACAAAAAAATTAATTACCTTTAAGCACGTCAGGATGTGGGTTTGACATTAAAAATCTATGGCTTCTTCTAGGAAAGATGAATCAATAGGCCTGTCTTCACTTGCTCGAGATTACCAAATATCCCGCTATTTGAACTATCCCGATCGCAAACTATCCAGCTAATTTGCGTCTTCATCAGCCCGAAGTTGCAATTAGCAGGATATTTGGTCGGGATTGTAATCCCAAGATATCTTGGGATAGTTTGCAAAATATCCCGCTTTTTGTGCATCCTCACCAACCCGAAGACTCGCACTATGCGCGAACGCTGAGCAAAATATCTCGAGCTAATTTCTCAAGGTCGAGTTTCAAGTTTTGAGGTCGAATCTGGAGCTGATAAAGACGTGATTTGTAACTTCAGGATTATTTCCCAAATCAGAAATAGTGGGCTATTTGGCAATCTCAAGATGATGAAGACGCACCTAAAGATAGCCATCAGACACGATTGAAAGGCAGTTTTCCAGCCATTTACGTCATTATCCCCATACCCGGAACATATGTCACCAAGTTTTATGAGTGGTTTGGACTATTTTTAGGAAGTTTGTGAAGGGCAGTCCTTCTGTTGGTTCATACATTGTGTTTGTGATCCTGGCCAGTCTGCCAGGATGAGAAGGACTTGTTCAGGTTTCTGGCATGAAACATCAACTTTGGAAATGCATACGTGTACCTTGAAATGATACAACAGAAGAGTAGAGAGAAAGGGAGAGAGAGAGAGAGAGAGAGAGAGAGAGAGAGAGAGAGAGAGAGAGATAATGGGTAAAAGGGTGGGGGGGGGGGGAAGGTGTCGATTTCAGTTACATACCATGTATGCAGTAAGCTCATTTAGCTCATACTGCTTGATTGACTTGTAAATTAAAAATTGATTGATTTATTGTTAGATTGATACATACTGATTGATATACCTTAGGGCTTTATTCACAAGGTTTCTGCCAACTTTTGTCATTAATGTGTCTACTTGAAAGATCTCACAGTGAATTATGATTAGAGAACTGATTGACATACTGCTAAATTATAGTGACATTGCCCCTTAAAATTATTGAGAATATTGTTTAGATGTGGCATTGATTGTCAAGATTTCGTCATCAAAGTATTGCTCAGATTTAGGGGGAGTTGATATCACCTTTGTTTACTGTCATTGTGTACTTTATTTGAGAGACAAGATATTCAAATTGTTATTTAAAAGCATTGATTGCATTAATTGCTTCCTCAAGTAGATTTGTAGATTTGATAATAACCCAGAGTTACTTATTAAACTAAATTAATCTATGATCCATTAGTAACGCTAGAGAATGAATTTTGTAATCAATAAGTGATTTTAAGCTGATGCCACGTTAAATTTTAGTTGATTACCAGTACATGAGGTATGAACATACACGTGAATGTATGTGTAAATGAATTTAGAAGTTATAGAATTTTAGCAATATACCTACAAAATTATCTTCGTAACTCAATCAAACAGAAGAATTATGAATGAGTCTTTTATCTTTAAAATGACCAACAAGACTTTTAGATGGTTCCTCTCAAATTGGATAGTTGCTGCAAGCATGAAATGTTTAGAATTTGATGAGGTTCATGGTGGTATTCCATCGTTTCATTCCTTTGAGATTTCATCCATCTCTCCTGATTCAACATCGCATTATCTCACTTTCAAGTCATTAGTGGGATTGAGAGGTTGGATGATTAGTGGCGTGACCATGTGGAGTACTTTTCCATATTAGGCCCATTCACACATCAGACAAAATAGTGATTAAAAAGTTGAGTTTTTGTTAATCTTAATTGGAATCACCCTTTTCTGCACAAAACCCTTTTTCTGCACATAAACCAGAAAGACTTACTAATAATAGTGCATTTTTTTCTTGTGAATAACAAGAATATTTCCTCATCTTTCTTTCTTTTTTCTTCACTTAAATGCATTATATGAACTTGTTCCTTATAAGTGTTCCTGTATACATGTACTCTACATTTTTATAAAATTGTTAGATTGTACTACATTCAATTTCATGTTGGAAGAAAGACAAATAAACTTGAACTTGAACTTGAATATTTGGTGTGTGCTCTATGTTACAACCAAATACAGTGGAAGCAGGATAAGATTGTTTATTTTTATTATTCCCTTGTGTGAAAGGAATTCATTTTGCAATTTAAATCTCATGTTTGTGTGAATGGGGTCTAGATTTCTAACCCATCTATGAAAATGAATTTGACATATGGAGGATGAGAGTGTCGCTGTGGCATGGCTTGGTTCATGGTCAGCAAGAAATCAGGATCAAGTCAGTTCTTTGTCAGAAACAAATACTGTGATGCTAATATTTATTTCTGCGGTTCTGTCCATTATAATAATGGGTGATTCCTACATTTTTACACATATTTTACTAGCTATTTCTTTTCTCATTTTTTTCAAATGACTTCTTTTTCTGTGATTCCTTCTTCTTCTCCTCCTTCTCTACTTTCATCTTATTTTTTCATTCTCCCTATCCCCCTTTCCCCTTTTTTTCCTCCCCTTTTCTCCTTTTTTTCTCCCCTTTTCCTAGTCACCATTATTATTTTTTAAATGGAAATTAGTAATTTAATAAACATATTATTCTTTTATCATTACTCATTCTACAGGTTTGGATTTTGTGCTGCAACCGTACATAAACACCATACTGACCAAGAAAGTGACCGGTGATCGTCTGCTATTAATGACCACATCACAAGACTTAGAAGACCTTGGAGTTCTCAAAGTTGGTCATCAGGAAATCATGCTGGACGCCATCAGTCTACTATGCAATCTGGTAAGCGTAGAAATCTTTGAAATAATGTTTGTAAAACGTATTTAGAAGTTACATGTATATGACATTACGCACAATTAAAAAAACCTGTAAATATGAAGAAAAAATTGGAAGAGAAAACTACTGCATACTGTACTATCAAAGCTAGGCAAACACAATACCTTAAGTGGAATCAGGTATTAGCCTATTATGGTACGATTAAAGTAGAAATATAAAGATGAGTTGTATACTTCAACAAACTTCATAATATCAATCTTATCCAATGCAGTTAAGACATTGAAAAATAGCCCTTATACACTCGGTACAATTACATAGAAACTATCTTTTATAAATTAAAAGTGATACTTGCCTGTAATTTGACACATTGCAACACTGTATTACATAACCTGTCTGATATACATTGTATGCTTATGTTAGTACTATTTAATTAGAGGATATTAATAGTTACCTCTTGAGTTTCCAAGTATCGTCAGCCTGGCTGCTAATGTCTTCTTTCCTTCCCCTCCTAGAGCTGCCAAATTTCTTCCATGTTTGAAATCTGTCAGTATGGTGCCAATCATTTGAAGTTTTGAGACAATGTCTTCATCTCTTTCATTTTCCATTCAACATTATGATACATGTATAATGAATGTCTACAAGATGCATTTGGCTGCTAGCTGTCATTTGATATTTTATTAATTACCTGAGAAGGAGGAAAAGGGGAATACATGTAGGAAGGAAGCATGCACTCATGATGATTTGAGTCGGGCCTGGAAACGACAAGAAGCTTATTTATAACAATTGTCATCATTTCTGATATAAACATAATCTTTTATTGTGAGAATATCATTTCAGTTATTACTCATATGAGGATGTGGAAGTTTAATCTTCAAGTTCCTTGAATTAACACTCAAAATATACTTATGAAAATATATTTGTATCATACATATGATAAAGTAGGTCTGTAATTTGAATTCATTTAAAGGTACTATGTCCCTTTTGCAGCCAACCTCAAATTCTGTAGAACTTTGCAGGAATTATGAATATATCATGTATGTCCTATCTGTGAAATTTAAACGTTAGCAGTGTCCTCATATTCAAATTATACAAGGAAACCCGTTTACTTGCTAGACTTCACTGTCAGACACTATTGAGTGACTGACTGGCTTTTTTTTCTTCTTTGGTAATAGCATACATGAAAAGAGTTTTAAAGGGTATATGAGCATTTGTCTACATCAATAACCCACTTCTTGTGATGGCCAAGATTAAACTGATTGAATCTTTGCGGAGCATAAAACGTATGACCATTCGGTACAATTGTCTGAAAATCAAGACTATTACTTTTGGGCTCTATAGCCCTAAAGTCGATTTGACAACTAATAGTCGTTATTTTCCCACTTGAAGGCATTTTCAAGCCCCACCTTTTTTAGGGAAGTTCTAAATTAGTATTAGGGCGCTTTAGTAACGAGAAGGTACGCACAGGAGACGGTAACGCGAGCGAAAAAAACAAACTGCGCATGCGCGATTCTGAATTCTCTCCGTCCCGTCAATTTTCGGAACGGTACTCGGCCAACATAGCGTTCGTTCCCTAAACACGACGTAAGAGAGAGAGCTGACAAATAATTTGTATCTAGATCTAACAATGCAGGGCCCTACTGAAGATAAAAACAGGAAATCTACTAGTGTTTCCAATGTCTGTTCTGTATCTATACCTCAATCTACAATAAATTGATGGTTTGGCCGTTTAGGCCTACTTTGGGGGCCCTTTTTCATCGTTATGCATGACGTGCCTGCACGCTATGCACTACAGCCCACCGCCGGGTCTATTGCCCCGGCGCTCCAGCCAAGCCTCGAGGCCCAAGATCACCTGCACCAAAAGGCAGCAGGTGTGCAGTTCAGCGCGGCTTTGCGTCCCCGTCGCCTTTAGCAGACAGCGAAAGCGCTTAAATATCATGACGGTAACAAGAGTGCGAGACCCGTCACAGTTGGTTAAACACTCCGTCTCCTGTGCGTACCTTCTCGTTAATAAAGTGCCCTATTATCTTTCAAATGCGGTTGGAATTTAACTTTTTCATTTTTTTGGCCTGCAAATGGGACATAGTACCTTTAAAGCGTTCATTATTTTGATCTGTGTATCTAGGTGTCTTAGTTTATATATCCTTGACAGTATATTAACAAGAACTGTTGGGTCTTATCCATATATGTTTTTACTGTGCACTGTACAGGAGAGGCATCTAGCTGATTTATGATCATTATAACTTTTAAAAGATTGAAACACTTTGGGATAACAGTCAGTATTTGAATTTTTAAGTAGGTGACTGACATGCTTTGGGAATTTTACATTTAATATGAAAAATTATTAACTTGAAAATTTCAAGAATATTTCTAATTTCAATTTCATTGCCCTTTGAGAGTACTCTTCTATATGTTATGTAATTCAAACACCAATACTTAATGAGTAGCGTTCATACTTCCTGCCTTTATTGGTTCACCACACAGGATGATTGTTAGTTCCCTTATGAGAATTATATTAAGCCTTTGAATACCAAACGCAAGGTATCTTGGAATTGGGCCAATGGAAAAGGCATGATATGAAAATGAAATCATGTCCAATGGGTTAAGAGCATTCTCTTATGATTAAAACTATCAGCGTTGATCATGTGATTCGTGGGAGAATTCCGACGACAACGGATCTATTTAACCTACTAGGTTATAGGTATGACTAGGTGTATTTGATGATGCAATATAAAGATTGGTTGATGTGAAAACAAAATAAGAGATAAGCGAAAGGTGAAATTGGAGGTAAAGTATTGAAACTGAAACTGAAAATGAAGTTGAAATTAATTCCACATCGTGACAGAATCAGTGGACATTCGTAGGGAATTCTTTTGAATTTGCATCACTTGTTATGATAATTTTGACTTTAGGAGAGAGCTTAAATTGAAACTGGGTCTTAATATATCCTTTTTTAAAAAACACTGATAATTTTCATTAGTTTTAGAGGTCTTTTTCCCTCTTATATTCAGAGCAAAGATTTTTAAGGTGATATTTTCGGTCATAATTCCTCTATAATCTTCATTGGTTTGAGAAGTTTCTTTTCCTCTCTCTCATATTCAGAGCCAAGATTTTTGGGGTGATATTTTTGGTCATAATTCCTCTATCCTCACCTTTCCTATCCTCTACACCTTCCTACGACCCATAGACAATCAAACCATATCAGAATCAGAGGAAGTCTACTTTGCTATGTCATAGTCATAATACTTGACCAATACTTGACCAATACTTGACCAATACCCTGTTCACACAGAAAGCTTTATTCAGGATGTATCAGGGATATCTCTTCTATGTTTCAAAGTGCTCCTTTTACACTGACAATTCTGTTTGATCCAGAATTTGTCTTTGTTGTTGTTTTTATAAGTGAGAAATATCCCCCTTCTAGAAATTTAATCCACCAGTAATCATTGCTGTCTGGATCTTATACAGCTGTATGTAAACCTGTACAAATTTGATCAAAGCTTGTCCTTTAAATGAATTGATTCTAAAGTCATGGGTGTATTTATTTCTGTGTTTACATTTAAGGGATCTTGAGTTTCAATCAATTTGTAATGTTAGTAATTCTATAACTATCTGCTTTCTGAATTTCTATTCCTCTGCCAGCAAAGGTGGCGCTGGAGGGTGGAGGCATTAATTTCAATCAAGATTAAGAATGCCAATTCCATTTCATGCAATCCTACTTGGATGGGTGGAACCTTTACAATCAAACACTGGAAATGTATGATTCTCTTTGTGTTAAACAGTTATACCTCCCTCTTGTGTTGGATGATATACTCAATGCAATCTTATATCCTGTTCCTCTGCTATGAATGGCTTAAACTTGTATTGATTTAGCTACAATGAATTAAAAAAAATGCCATTTGAAATCTAAATTGATTTTATTTTGAGGAGAACATATCTAGAGGAGCCAGTTTTGAATTGATGACGGAAATTGTACAGATTCAAATCTTTTAACCCATTGGCAAAATGACAACTGAATTCTTGTATTTTTTTTGCTTTTATAATTCTTATACAGGAGCCAAATGGTTCCCCTATACAGGGAATAAGTTAAATAATTAATTCAAAGCACCCTATCTTGGAGTGACTTTGTAAAAGGGCAGTACAGATGTGAAAGGTCTAAATGCTGAAGTCATGCATCTTAAAGAGTTTTCCTTTTCTTTTTTTAGTTCTTTTAGTTCATTTTTATTAATACTTTCATTATAATATACATAGGTAAACAACATTTAAAAGTTAAAAACAGATATCTTAATGTATTGGAGGAGATAAGGAGAAGAAGAAAACATAAATTCACCATATCAAATTATCAATGAAGATATTGGGAGATACATACAAGGCAGGAAGGCCAGGCCTTGTACGTGAAAGTGGATCTCCAGTGATTATACCCAACCTTGTTATACAGGTATGGATTGATATAAAAACAAATCCAATGCTATTGATGTCTTAATTTACTTCATCCATGCTGAATACATGTGATCAATCACTCCCTGTCTAAATTGGCAACCATTCCAGGTGTTACAGACATCATGTGCTACTTAACCAAGTCAAGAACAATTGTTAATGGGGTTTGCACTTGATATAACAATTAACTTCCTGTGAAATTTTTGCATGCTAATGCAGATGTCAGAATTAGGGAGAGAAAGAGAGAGAGAGAGAGAGAGTGAGAGAGAGAGAGATAGAGGGAGAGAGATAGAGGAAAAGAGAGAGAGAGAAAGAGAGGGTGAGATAGAGAAAGAGAGAGATAGAAGAAGAGAGAAAGAGAGAGAGTTAAAGGGAAAGAAAGGAAGATAGAGAAAGATAGAGAGAGAGGAAGAGAGAGAAAGAGAAATAGGAATTAGAAATAGGAAGAGAAAGAGAAAGAGAAAGAGAGAAAAAAAAGAGAGAAAGAGAGAGAGAGAGAGAGAGAGAGAGAGAGAGAGCAAGACCGAGACCAATGATAGTGATGGACTGCAGCCAAATTAATAACTTCAATGGTATAGATATTTCCTTCTTGTATAACATATTTTCAAGGTAGTACTTTGTGTTTGGATATGTACATCTCTAAAATCTCAATTGCAAGTCATTTATTTTTTATTTTTCAAGTACGTAGAAGATTGTAATTAAGATCCATTATAATTCCAGTTTTGTAATCAAATGAATATGTCCCTTTTTATTTTTGTTGTTTTAGAAGTGACTTCATGTTTCCATATTTTTAGCTTACGCTTTATCATTTGACAGTTTCATGCATTAGAGGGACGAGAATAGTAATGTGATTCCAAATATTCATGTACTGTATGTAGACTGGATCTTTATGAGTAAATCTATGTTGAAACATCAGTTTTCCTCTCCCTCTCAGTTATTTTAATATCTATTACAGTCGATAGATTTTGTGCCATGAGCCCCTAAAATAGTGGACCTACAATGAGTTTGCTTCATTTACTATTAGAGGTTTCATTTTCAGAGAAACTCAGTCTGACTCATTGATGAGATAATAAATTGGTATACCAGCACCTTATTGTCCCACGGAATATCTTCCTTCCGGTCGACGGTTCGGTGGATGCAGCACATCTCCCTTGACTGGTCTTCATCAGCTCGAGATTGCCAAATAGCCTGCTATTTCTGATTTGGGAAATAATCCTGTAGTTACAAAACGCGTCTTCATCAGCTCAAGACTTGACCTCGAAACTTCAAACTTGAGCTTGATAATAAGCTTGAGATATTTTGCTCAGCGTTCGCGGGCTTCGGGCTGGTGAAGACGCACCGGATAAATAGCAAGATATTTTGCAAACTAGCCGCAGATATCTAGGGATGATTATCTCAACCAAAAACCTTACAACCTTAAACTTCTGATGGATGAAGACTCAAATTAACTGGATAATTTGCGATCGGGATAGTTGAAATAGCGGGATATTTGGCAATCTTGAGATGATGAAGACGCCCCTGATGACTGGTCTTCATCTTGTCATTTGTTTGATCTCTTTTCCATCTGTCTTTAGCACTACCGTCAGAGTGTGGAGGACCTGCAGTCTGTCACACTCAATCTAAACACCAGAACCAACTGCCTCACCAAGTATCTTCAGAGATGTAGTAGGAATGGTGGTCATCATCCAGGGCGCAACGGAACCAATGTACCTCAGAGTGTTCCTGCCTCAGTCCTGGTCCTCATAGCTGAGATTGTAACAGCAGCAAAGACGGTCATATCTTGGCTTGACAGGTTGGTGACTAAACAGTTATTTCTGTGTAATGTGAAACCATACTATTGCAAAAAAAGTTTTGAAAAATAGCAACAATTCAAGGATGTTATATAATTATTCAGGTCTTTTTAAGGTTTGAAACTTGTGTGTGAATCTAGAAATTTTCAAAGTGTTTGTAGTTGAATAAAGAATTGATTGGGCCTGAAACTCTTTCTAGTCCATGAAAATACATCAACAGTTAATAACCTTGTCAATAGGCAGACATCATGAGTGTCAAAATCAATGTTTTGCTCATTTGTTTGATGAGATTTGCCTCTGTAAAAGGGACATCTATTCTGTGCAACTGCTTGATTACATGTATGTATGTATGTTAAGTATTTCTTTACATACCAGCTCTTTTTTAATGTTTTCTAGAGTTCATTTGGAGCAAATATCCCAATATTTATGATCGTTAAACCGCTCTGCATACTCTTATTTTATTTTATCATAGATATTATACTGTCAAATGATTTTACGACTGTGTTATAGATAGATCCTAAGATCTAGCGTACCAGGCTTCAAACTAATTTGTAATTTGTTTTTTAAGGAGATGATATCATTCCCATCTGGTTAATGATGGCTTTTAAGCTTAACCTATCAATCATGCAAAATGGTATCAAACCTTATCATCTGTTTGGAACCAGAAGGACGTTAACTCATATACTATAACACAGAGTGAACGCCCTTCTGACTCAGAGGGAGACACTTCTCAGAGGAGCACACATTCTTATCAGAGCCTGTAAAAATGGGGTCATTTTCATAGTGCATTTCCTTGCTATTATTTCTGATAATACAGGGATATATCTATACAGCACTAAAACAATTTTGTACAATTATTCTGTAGCCATAAAATGACTTATTTTATTGGCCATGTGAAAAGTACCGGTATTAAAATCTTGTTTAACAAGACATTTTATTGTGAAATTAACATTTAAAGTGTTGTTTTGTATGTGATAAGATATCTGTTCACAACCACAGCAATTATTCTTAATGTGACCTGAACAATGTTCATCAGGTGTGACTGTTCCTTTTGATATATGGTGTACAGTCATTTTTAAAGTTTTTTTGTCTATATAGCATTTATACAGTGTTTCTTCTTGTGAGAATGGACCCTAAGTGATGTAGGTGGATTGCGATTACCCATTCCAAGCGTAATCTTGAGATGAAACGTTCCTTTCTAGATGTGACTAATCAAACCTCTAAACAGCTCTGTGTGCCAGGAGATTAAATCCACCTCTTCAGATTATCTCATTTAAACTTAAAGCAGAGTAGTATTTTTAATTCTGATGGGAGATTAGGTAAAACTTGATGTAAGAATAAGGACATATCATTCTAGGCCAGGGTTTGGGAGTATGCCATGAACAGGTGGGAGGGGGGTAATTCCCTATTTAGCTGCATTCAATTGATACATTCTATAAGGCTGTTAATTGACTTCTCCTCCTCGGCTTATAGGTGTTGATCGATGCCCATGAACTAGATACAGATGAAGTAATTACCCTCTTTATGGCTTCTAAATGACAGATGGTAGATTTGTGCAGATCCAATTTCATTGAAGTGCTCAAAATAACAAATTTCTTTCTGTTTTTATTTATTATATAATTTTTTATATTGGAATTGTAATCTTTTAATCATTTTGATAAGTTGAAATGCAGGGCTTAATAAAAGGTTCATTTTCCCCCCAACAAACATAAAAATATGAGGAATAGGAAGGGAACAACATATGAAGAAGCACATGGAGCTCTGTTGTGCATCTGGTTCAATCAATTTCTTTTTCTTTTTCATTTATTTAGACCTCCATTTGTGACCGGGGATCACTTCTTCAAAATGTTCCGAGAAGACATCTTAAAATCTGCCTTAGATCTTACACAAGTTGGTCAACAGACAGGATCTCTTTCACAGATAGAAGAAAGACTAATGGACATTGTGAGTATTTCATTTATATAAAGCTTTGTTAACAAATTCTGTGGGGAATTATTATTAATTGTACTGTTGCAGTATTTTCTGAAGGAAATACTGCTACAAAACAATAAATGATAGTAAAGAAACATTGCATTTCTCTCTCCACTTCTCCCCACTAATATCTCGTCTTTTTCTTTCTCTCTCTCTTTCTCTCCCTCTCTCTCTCTCTCCCCTTCCCCTCTCTCTCTGTCTCTCTTCCTCTCTGTCTCTCTCTGTCTCACGTTGTGTGTCTCTCTATGTGTCACTCTCTCCCCCTTCCCTCTCTCTCTCCCCCTTTCCCCTCTCTCTCTATCTGTCTCCCCCTTCCCCCTCTTCCCCTCTCTCTCTTTCCCTCTTTCTCTTTCCCCCTTCCCCCTCTCTCTCTATCTGTCTCCCCTCTTCCCCCTCTCTCTGTCTTGTCTCTCTGTCTCTCTTCCTCTCTCCCTTTCAACCCCATGTGCAGTTTCATCCTACGAGTATGTTGCACAATTCACATGTATGTCAGTACATTGTAATGAATCATTGTTTTATATATAAAATGGAAATCATTCATTTAAGCTTGGCAACCTTCGTGTGTAAGGACGTCTACTCCTCTGTTTCCTTGAAACTCAATGCTTCTCATCATAGATCTATCATTGCCAAATTAAAGAGATTAATTACTGAGTGATGTAATGGAGACATGCATGTGCATGAGACAGACTCTGAGAGTTAGTGAACATTTAACGCCGAAAACTCCCCTTTTCTATGTATCTCTCTCTCTGTCTCTCTGTGTGTCAGTCTCTCTCCCTGTCTGTCTATCTCTCTCTCTGTCTGTCTATCTCTCTCTGTCTCTTTATCTTTTTTCCCCCTCTCCCCTCTCTCTATCTTTCTTTCTTTCTACATGAGTAGTATGATGAAGTGTGAATGAGTTGGTACAGGTTACTTGTGAAGTATGGTCATTTGGTGAACAGGAATACGGTAAAACAATATACATTTTGCAGATTCACTTCATCTGTTAACAATCATTAGTTACATTACATGCATTTGTGGCACTTTTCAGTTCAGACGAAGAATCGTCTTACTTTAAAAAGCAAGAAGTGTGAACTTTAAATGTTCAGGTTAATCTATATTAATTTCCCATCCTTTGTGTGATGTAAGATTGTTGCCGTACAAGCAAGGAAGAAACAAATTACAAGTACTCCTCATATCTCCATCCAATATTTTTCAGAAGAATTCTGTGGTTGCCATGTGCATAGTTTAGTCTGCTACATACACACTGTAGGCATCGCCCTCTCACTTTCTTACTCATGTTAGGTGCTTATATATAGCTTTATGAGGTGTACTGAAAACTTTGTAATAGCATCATTTTGCCAAAATGCTGGACAAAATTGTCAAACTTTATGTCCTTGCTTGTCCAAACTCCCTTGGTCCTTCTGTGCCTTCCTCCCTCCCTCAAATATTGACCTGTATCAGTACTTAAAAGGGTGCAATTCAAATAATCAACTTATCGCTTCACATCAATATTTGTTTGGAAGGTTATGTAAAAAGTGATGCAAGATAGATTTCTTTTAATGGTGCTAGTACATGTCAATCATGAATTGAGTGAAATAATTCTCAGTGGCACATACAGGATTGGAAATCTTCCCTTGCACTAGGCCAGCATATTACATGTACATCTTAGAAGCCAGGTCCATCTACAAGAAGCCCGGGGGGGGGGGGGGGGGGGGGGGGTACTCATATATTAAGACTACATGGGTGTGTGGCTCTAATGGGTCACTTTTTCACACAAAATCCCTAAACATGGGTCTGTGTTTTTGAAAATTGTGAAAAATAAGTCTTTATTTCGAGAAAAATCCCCCCAAATGACCCTTAAATGGGAAGGGGTCTCGAGGCTTGGCTTGAGTGTGCCACCCCTGTCCAAACCAAATCTGAGAACGTCCCCCGGGACAAGAAGTCAGAAGTTTTATTTTGTAAATCATGATCCTCAAATAGGCTGGGATTTGATTTTGTGTTTGACTATTTTTTTCCATAGAATGTAAATTCCTCTGGTCCTGACCAAAATACATTTTTTTTAAATCCAACCTCTTCCTGTTGACATTCTTTTGAGAGGTCCAGATTTTCCCTTCCAAGTCTTTCAATGAAACCACCCATCCATATCAGGGGGTGCAGGATAACTTTAGAATCATGTAACCTCAACTATCCAAGCAATCAACAAAGGAGACCAATATAAGTGATTGTAAACTCGCTCCATTGGAGAAGCAATGACAATAGGAGAGACATATGAACCTTCATATGGACCCTGGGTTACTTACATGTACTGTATGTACAGGCTGATGGGTTGGGAAATAAAGGATAGAGCTTCCTACTTCTCTCTCTCTCTCTCTCTCTCTCTCTTTCTGTCTCTCTCTCTCTTTCCTGCGGGATGTTTAAGTTGGACTTCCTACTGTGAGGACAGACTTGTTTTCACAACCTTACACTCTAGTTGAAGTTGCTTGATCTTGTGCTTCGTGTTGGGTCGTTATGATTTCAGGTAGGCGTGTGGATAATTGCTGAGTTCTAATGAGAGTCGTTTAACTCGTAATGTTTTTCTTACGGAGCTTGGAACAGGAATGAAAGGAAGTGTGTCATGTGAATGCTATAGAGGTTTTGTACTTTGGATCCAATGTGTTACATTGCGTGAAAGTCAGTGGCTTGATCAGGAGTCGCCTGCTGTTTTTGTGTTGATCATGGAATGATTTGAGATTTGTACATGTATGGGTGTATGTTAACAAAGCTCAGTATTATGTGAAGATGTGCATCAGTTGGTAAGTTATGATTATCGTCAATATTTACGTAATGTACACTCATTTCAGCTATCGGTATGTTGATTACTTATGTATGAAATGTTCACCTACATGTAGTAGTAATAGTAATTTAGTAGTGGTGTAGTAATAGTTGTATCGTCATTCGTCAATTATTACGTATTATTACCCGTATCAGACATCTGAGCAGTGGTTTTTACAAAATCATATTACACTCGTTTGTTATCCTAAAAGGGCTAATCGGGGAATATGACACCATATTTACCTTTCATGAAAAAGCCTATGGACTTTATGTGTTAGAAAAACATGAAATATAAGACCATATTCACCGCGCCGTATTTTGTCATTTTCATTGCGCATCTATTATGTGTACGAGAACCTGTGCACTTTGCGCGCACTTTGCGCGCACTCTATTGTGATGTAATAATCACACCAAATTGGGTACACTGTTTGCAGTGTATCAAAAAATTTGTCAAGCGGCTGGATGCACAGTGCTGGTTTGACAAAGTTTGTTCAGTTCTATGAGATTGTCATGTATTATTTGCTCTAGATGTCTGATTTATAGATAATAATAACAATATTGACTGGCTTAACTTTCGGGAGATACCACATATATTTCCCTCACAAGACCCATATTGCCCTCGTCTTTGACTCGGGGCAATATGAGTCTAGTTTGGGAAATATTATGTGGTATATCTCCCTCAAGGCCAGTCCATATTATATAAGTGTAGGCATTTCAGGCTTTTTTAGCTATTGGTATGTTGATTAAATACATGTATGTATGAAATGTTCGCCTTTAATTATAGTAGTAGTAACAGTAACTCAGTACTATAGTGGTGTAGAAGTTGTTGAAGGGCTTACTTTGTTCCATTAGGTCTTTGCGTCTGGGCGGGATGTCAGGTTACATGAACTGTCAAGACTAATCAAGCTCTAATTTCTGAAAGGTAGCGTGTGACATTTGTGAACTAAACTTTTTGAAAATCCTGAAGCAAATCTATGAAAACTTGTGTCTCAACTCGACAGATAGATTGTTTGTATGTTTGTTTTCATTCCTGTCATGAAAAGAATAAACATTGAGAAGAACTTAAGTAACAAAATACATGTATAAATAAAGAAATGTGTATATTTATACATATTAAACAGTTAACATTTAAGCATCAAATTGAGAACCCCCCCCCCTAAAAATAAAAACCAAATGACATTAAGAACAAAAGACTGTACTACGAAATAAACAAAAACCAGAGAAACAAACGGCTTCATTGATAGCCCATTTTCAGCTGCACTTGCATGGGGACCAGAAAGAAAAAGGAAAATAAAAAGAAGAAGTTCAATTTTGTTGTTGTTTGTGTTTATGGGAGCTTTTGCATTTACCGGTACTTAAATGTTAGACTTTTTTTTGTAATAAAAAACTTGTTTGTCTTTCTTTAGTTTTTTTTAGTTATCCAAGGCTGTCATTATACTTTCCCAATCTAGATTCTTCTGATTCTTCCCTGACTGCTCCAATGCATTCTCCTTTCTTTTATGGTAGAAAAACTAGAAAAATATTTGATGTTTAAACAGTGCAAACTCTTTCCACAGTGACAGATATTCCAGTACATGTACATGGATGTGACAAAAATGGATCTGGAAGTATGCTCTTGTCCATCATATAGCATACTTCTGTGAATGTTTAATAGTTGATATGGTGGAAATTTAATTGTCACTTTGCACTCCGCTACATGTAGCTAGGGTCATTTTAAGAAATGGCATTTCCTAATAAAGTATTTGATATTTCTCAATAGAAACCTGGGCCCCGTCTTACAAAGAGTTACGATTGATCCAAATCAATCGCAAGTCCTGCAATTAATCAATCGCAAGTTTGTAGTCTCCTATCTCTTATGTATAGTTGCGAACGTGCGACTGATATCAACTCTTTGTAAGACGGGGCCCAGAATACCAGTTGCTATGGAATTGCTTCACTTTTAGTTTGCTTAGACTAGACTAAATTAATATTTCTCTAGTAATGTGGAGTGGTTGGGCAAATATATTGTGAGAAGGGTATTTCAAATTCTATGTTTGAATTTAGCTGTCTGCAAACAATCTCTTTAGCTATATTAACAATGAGAGTACTGTTCCCATTTCTTTAACACCCACTTCCTACTCCACTCATGGCAATTATTCTGTTCTCTTCATGAATATATATATATAATTGTTGTTTATCATGGCATTATAAAAATCACCTATGAACATGTACATGTAGTACCCCTCTTGTAATTTCTGTTTCTTTTTTTACAATTTATTAAGTGTTTGCTGTGCTCATATAACATTAGTTGTTTAAGTTGTACTTGTAGTTTTGATTGTAAAGACCAGTTGTAAACCATTAAAAATGAAATATCATGCAATTAAAGACGAAGAAAGAATGGAGATTTACAATTGATTACGTAATTTGTGGTATTGGGCATGATTTGTGATGACTTTATGACCACATAGATGTACATGTACAATACATGTAGTTAACAATATCAACATATTTATGTTTTATGGATTTGTATGAAGTAAGTTTGCTTCTTAATGTCCAAATATTGGGGTTTTCCCTGTTTGTATTTCATTCTGGGTCAGCTGTTCCTTTTCTTCTTTTTTTATTGTTCATTCCACTGTTTACTCTGAAAATGACCCTATTGCTCTTCCAAAGGTCATTCATTCATTCTCTTTGATAGAACTAGTATAGAAATCAATATCCATGAAAGAGAGAGAGAGAGAGAGATAGAGAGAGAGAGACAGACAGACAGAGACAGAGAAGGGGGGGGGGGAGGGGAGAGAGGAAGTGGTAGAGAGAGAGAGAGAGAGAGAGAATGAGAATAAAGAGCCATATCATGTATGTGACATCACACCTTCCCTTTACCTCTAATATAAAGCACTAAATAAGCACTACCTTTCAGCATCAATTCCCAAATCTTTTGCCTTTTCAGAATCAAGAGCTGTGTGAATTTAGTGACGATCGTGCACAGAAAGCATTGATCAGGGGGGGGGGGGCATTTCACAAAACTTGTCACCAGTGACAAATGACAGTTTTTGTTACTGAAATACTTGCTTCTGATTGGTTATCAGTAGATTTGTCACTGATATTTTTCATTTTTCATTGAAAAAAGGCTTTGTCAAACGGGCTACAAACCCTTTCTTTACCTCTGAGCACCAATACATGTAGCTTTATTCCCTTATCACTTCCGAGCAACTAGGTGAACAAAGCTTAAAACCTTCTATGTACTTTATACCAATAACCATTCTAGAGTTAACTGACTTCAGTAGTCGCCTGGGCAGCGTTTTCATGAAACCATCATAAGTACAAGTTTACCGACATCCTATTGAAACGTGTGTTAAACTTAATACTTGTCACCAGTGATTTTTTGTTAAACATTTCTTGTCCCTTTCAACTTTTGTCCTTGCAGAGTCAAGAGCTTGGTGACTTCAGTGATAACCTGGTGAAGAAGGCCTCAGATCCTCTCATCATCCAGACCTCTACCATTGACTTTGTGTCAATCAAGAAGAAGAGATCAGAAGAGGAGCTTGGACTGGAGATTAGGACGTCTGCTATCGACGGGACGCATCTCATCACACTGGTCAAACCAAATGTAAGTATCGAGGGGTCAGTGACACAAAGAAGTAACTCCATTTTGGCCATTTTGAGTGTCACTGAGCACTTGGGCCTGAAGGAGTTAAGTCTATGTTTAACTAGCCATTGACTTCAATGGGGTGTTGGGTGGAGTTAAGTCTTTGTGTTTCCTGGAAAGCCCACATTTTTCTGAACATTTTGATATCAAATACTCATCTTGGAAAAATATGGAGTTACGTTTTTGGGTCACTGAACCCTCGGTATGGTCCCTTTGTTCCTGGTTCATTGTCTACCTGTTCCTGTTCCTAGACCTGGCCCTCTGAACATGTACCTTGATGATTCCATACCTGGGCCCCTTACATAAAACTTACCATCAATGGTGACTTTGTCATCAATGGCAACTACCATGGTAACATGCTCAACAGCCAATCAAAATCAAGGTTTCCATGGTAGTTACCAATGATGGCAAAGTTACCGTCAATGATAAGTTTGTGCAACGGGACCTGATCCTCATACATGTACATATTGCTCCCTTTTTACATCGGACCTCTTTCTATCTACTGCTTATAGACATGGCCATCTCTGTACTTGGTTGATTCCATAATTTGTTCTCCTTTTCACTATGTGCAGACTTCGAAAATCTTGTACCTTACACATTCCATATCTCATTCTTTCATCTACCTTTATACCTGGTCCTCTTTGTTATTTATCCTATTTGTATTGGGTCCTTTAAACTACTTACAGTTCTGGCAGTCTTTGTGTCTGGCCCTCTCTGTACTTATCCTTTCAGCTAACTTTAGACTGGGCTCTCTTTGCACCCCACCCTCTCCCTACAGAGTTCTTAAACCTAGACCTGGTCCTGTGTGTACTAGGTCCTTGTAATATTACTTTACCACTTGTAGCTATACTTCTGCAAAGTATTACTGAAGAATTCGGAGCTTCCTGAACATCTGTGGTGTTCTAGTCTTTTAGAAAGTGGTTTTCTACACCTTAGCTATATTTATGTGAAGTCATTCTGTTCTTTAATGTGAAATGTGAGCATTGCCATTATGACTAGACATACATGCTGACTTCTTTTATATGTGTTTCTTTTTGCAGAGTGCCTCAGGTTCAACAGACAGAGTTCATATCGGAGATGAGATCCTACAGGTCAACTATCAGACAGTGGTAAGAGCAGGGTTATAATCACAATAATGATAGATTGATTAAAATGAATGTGGTGGTGGTGGTTATTTTACCTGACTGCTAAGAAAGCATAAATGCTTGTAAGTAAGCAACCAGACCGTCGAGGGCTTTAGGTCCTCTCTGAGGGACCTGGTAATGAGGATTAATGCCTTACCAAAGGGCACTAGCGCATCGCTTTGGTTTCGAACGCGGGTCACCGGATTATGAGACCACTGCTCTACCGACTGAGAAGATAAAATGAAGAGGAAAGGTAGACTGGAGAAGGTAATGATGACAGTTTTGGTGTTGGAAAAAATGTCATTAAGAACTAGAAGTTGTGACCAGTTTATAAACAGTGATCACAATCACAACTTGACATCATTGGAATCTTTGTACTGAAGAAATAGGAGATTGCAGTTGATTAGCAGACTTTTGATTCATCACGATCTGGCAGGGAGGTGTGAGTTGGTTTAGCGGCACGTTCACTTGGTCAGCTCTCTGTCTTCGCCTACAAACTGGCTCAGACGACCCCGGTTCGAAACTGAGTCGCGTCTTTCGGATGGTGACGTTAAAGGTTGATCCCCGGACGTAAATAATCATATCTGATTGATACTCGTCTGTAAAAACCCAATTACACACACACACTGTTTGTCATGTGGGCACTGATGATGAAGTGACAAATTGATAAAGATTTAGTGATATCAACTAATTTACCTCTGCTATGTTCATATTCTCCTAGGTTGGTTGGCATCACAGCAAGGTTATTGAAGCTTTGAAGAGCAACGTTGGCGATATCACATTCACGCTCAAGAAACGTCCAAGACATCTTAGTCAACCAGGTCAGATCCAGAGACCGAAACAAAACCCTTTCCTTCATCCAAACAACCTGGGTATCAGCTCGTTGCCATACCGACGACCCTCAGCTGGACGGAAGAGGGTGGTTGTCAAGGACGACATGTACCTGCCTCAGAGACAGGATGAGAAGCGGGAAGAGGAGGAGGAGGAAGAAGAAGAAGAAGAGAGGTATGTAGAGGGAAAAAGAGTATTCTTTTATCATTTTCATGTTCCTATTCTTCCCTATGAAATCAATGTAAATGCCCTTGACCTGGTGAAGGTCATTGGCAAGGTCATAACCAAGGCCATTGTCATGGTCACTATGGAGATCTGAAGGTCAGGTCTTGGGGATGTGTGTAGTAACTTGGGTATGTACATGTATACCTTGACTTGGGTCTCAACTCCGAACTCATTATATTATTGCTCAGCTTTTCATGAGGCATAGTTGGTTTGAATTGACAAACTTTGAACCATGATCTGCCTTCATATAGAATTCAAAGTATATTCCTTGTACAGTGGATTAGAAGGTCATTTATAATTCATAACTCTCTCATTCAGAGCTTAGAATATTCAGAGACTCCTGTAAGAAAAGTTGGTTTGAAAATGTTGTTTCAATTTTAAGGTGATCAAGTGATCAGCTTGTCAAAATTAATTTAATGTGTTTCAATAATTTTTTACAGAACTGTCATAGATCAGTCTTGGTGAAATAGTTCCCTGTGTTGACATTTTGTCAAAACAGTTGGCAGCTTCTGTTCAAATCTGTGTTGATTGTAAAATAAGATAAAAGAGTGCTATGACGTTAAACGCGATGAAATAAATGTATTTTTTGGCTTTTAGGATTGGCATCACTTTCACGGTTCCCAAGAGGAAACTATCCTTAAAGCAGTTTAGGTATAGATGCTCTATATTTCCATTTTTCAGAGTGGATCCTTTCTTTCTACCTCCTCTTTCTTCCAAGATTGTTGATTGAGTGTGGGAATATGATTTTAACAGCGAACAGACTTTGATATGAAACTTGAAATCTTTGAACCGTTGTTGTTTTGTTTTGTTGTCAAGGCAAGTTGCATGGACGTCGTGTTATATGCATGGCCCCATGCCTTATCCCCTGTTTACATCTTTTCCTCTTCATTATTCCATGAATAATACTATTCCATTTTGCAGCAAGCTTGCAGTTTCTGTATTAATAACAGTGCTTTCTTTTCTTCATTGTGTAACCAGATTTGTATTCTATTTTTGACATCTCTTCATAACTTGTGTTAAAAATCTGGGTATTCATGATAATATTCATGATTAGGACATTCCCTGTTCCAAATAGAAAACTTATTAAAGTGATTTTGATTTCAGCTTTATTCACCTCTTAAACTTTGGAAATGAAATGACATCATTTTTCTTTCAGTCTTTGTCAGCCATTTGTAGAACTACTGTATTTAGCCTACAGTTTGAAGATGTCTTTCTGCTAGTTTTGCAAGAGGTGCTTGTCCCTCTTGTATGTAGGAATCTGTCTAGAAAGTTTTGTCAAAATGTCACTCTTGATAATTTCTTGAAAGCCTCAACTTCTTCCTATTATTTCAATTAATATTTGGCACAATTCATAATTGAAAATATTGGTAGCACCATAAATATAATATTGAACAAATTTGCTATGTTTGTGATTGAATCATATCATTTTTTCAGCCAACTATTTATGAAAGTGATGCATTTGTTTGATTTATTTTATTTGTTTGCCTAAATAACCTGAGGACTAAAATGTTGGTAAAGTGCAAATTTTTCACTCTTTAATGGAGATTAACAGTATAGAGGGGATTCCCCTTTAGTTGATGTCCTACATGTATCTAACCATTTTTCCATTCATTTCTTGTACAGACCACCAGATACCCCATCTGGGATTCTTGATTCACCTCTAGACTCACCTCTAGCTGATACGAACTACTTACTACCCAGGGGATTCCCCCTAGGGCGACGCCCTACGATGGTACCTGGTATGGCCCATGCTAGACGGAAGGGAAAGGTCAGGCAGGACAGACCACGCTCGCTACCCTCTGATCTAGAAGAGCTTAGAAAAGGTAAAACTGAGAGTCTTTATCCATCAATATGTTTACAATTAAAAAGCCATGTATGATCATATTAGGCACAAGAAATAAAGGTAATTTTATATGAAACGAATCTGCAGTACTAGATGAGTTTATGGCTTATAAATATTACTAGTGTTGTTATGTAACGCGTAGTATATTGTTTGTGTCAATTTTTGTAATGGTCTTGTATGAACAAATACATGAGGCCATCTTCATAAATTCTTTATAGGGCTTTATTAAAGATTGCAGTTCACTTTCAGCTGTTTTCTATCTTTTTGCTTTACTCCTAAGAACTGAACAAATCATCGTCAGGGAAAAATGACCGAACTCCTGAGAAGATCAAGCCTCTGCCAGCGGACTTCCGCATCCCGACCAGGAAGGTCAATGGAAGCATGTGTGATACAGAGCCCATGCCAGAAACAAAGAGCCTCTTCCCTCACAGTGATAAGGAAGATGAGCCAGGACTGGAAGATAGCGCCTCCATCGTGGCATCGGAGGCAACAGCCGCACCCCAGGTCAGCCGGAAGCCCACTGCAAAAGGAGTCAGCGTAACGTTCAAGGAGGATGTTGTGAGTCCTGAGAAGGCATCAGACCACCATAGCAATGACAAGGTTGATGGTGCTTGTAGGCAAGATAGTGAAGTCGAAGGTCAGGGGTCAAAGGACAGTGAAGGTGTTGTGAACACGAATAATAATGAGGATACTCAGATTCCCAGTGAACTTAAAGAACTGATTGAAGTGGTGGAGGAATCAGGTGCTGATGAATTTGTGATGGTTGATATACCACCTAGTGCTGATCATACCGATGGGTAAGTCATCTTTCATTTCTCCATGCATTTACATACATTGTACATGTACACGTACCTCTGTCTCTTTGTTGATCAGTCTGTCTGTCTGTCTTTCTTTCTCTCTATCTCTCTTTAATTATACTCTCCATCTTGTCTGTCTGTCTGTATGTCTGTCTCTCCCTCTCTGTCTGTCTCTCTATCTGCTTGTCTCTTCCTCTCTGTCTCCTCTCTGTCTCTTTCCCTCCCACCCCTCACTCTTTCCCTCTCTGCATCTTCCTATAATTCGTTGATAAATCTAAGTTTATTAAAAGTTATCCAGCCATATTCATTCTTGTTTTCCTCAAGTTGGTCATTGCTGACTAAAGTTAAACAGCATTTTCAATTTTGTAAATGAGAATGATACTACTGCAAATTCTTCCTAATGTTTTTTCTTCATCTTCTAAGTAGATAGTTGTTTACATTTGCTAGTTTCACTTGTAAGATATACCGATTCAGCCCTTACTGATTCTATGTAAATTTAAGTGATTGTCTACATGTATATGTGAATTGTGTAATTAAAAGTGATCTGTTAAAGTGCAAAACCAAAACCTGGCTTAAGTTGAAATTCAATCCGATTTATTTACCATTATCTTGTTTCCCTTTCTCTTCTCCAGACCGGGAAGATTATTAAAACCAACAAAGAGAAGTGACTCAACATCTACCATTGATTCTACAGACTCGGTGAGTGATATTCCAGGGGAAAATGGGGGGGGGGGGGGAGGGCTCTTTTATGACTTTCAGGGGCTCTTTTTGGCATTTTGGAGGCTAATTCGCCCGAGCCCCAGTGTATTTTTTTCCCTGTGACATTCTCAAGTTGCAAATACCTGGAGTAGAGAAAGTACCACTATTGGAGCTTAGAAATATACATGTAAAAACAAAGAAAACCTTGTTGTTAGATTTCCTTGGAGCAAGTTTCAATATTTCTTCCTGCCCCCCTTCCTACCGCTAGAGCTAAATCCCTCTTTGCTCACTTGTAACCAACAATCTCTCAATACCTTCAAAAATTATCTCAAAACTCTCCTTTTCTTTTAACAATACAACTGAAAAGTACATTTGAACATGTATATGGAAAATGTGCTATATAAATACATTATTATTATTACATAATAGGTACGGCTTAGGAAACACCCCAAGAAAGGCCGCTTCAAGAGAGGTATCTCCTGTGCAGATCTAGGACCGGGAGAGTGTGACGGTCATCTCTGGATCAAGAAAGCTGAGAAGCTTGGCACAAAATGGATCCAGATGTGGTTTGTTCTCAAAGAGTTTGTTCTCTATTACTACAAAGATCAGAAGGTGAGATTTTGTAGAAAGTTGTACAATGATGCAATGCATAATTGTTTGCAAGCTTTAAAAATAAACACAAAATAAAACCCCTAGTGAGAGATTAAAAACAAGATTTTTTTTTTTTTACATATGCTTTAACAATCTTAATATATCTTACTGAAATAGTGTACAATAAAATTTATTCACTCTTGAACCATTGGAGAAGAATGGACTTTATGTATGAATTCTTTTAGATTCAAGATTCAAGATTCAAATAAGGTTTTATTCATGACTTGTCAAAAAGTCCAAGGACTAAAAATGCAAGTTTACATCAATATAATATAGTGTAGGTATGAGGTGAATTTTTTTTCTTCCATTTCCATTTGATGTCATCAGTGAAGCAATCTTTTTCTTATGGGAGGGGTGATGGGGGCAGCCAAAGCAAATTAATTTGTCTTGTGTAATAAATCTTATGTAGGGCGTCAATTTTACATGTCTGTTGTGAATCAAGGTTATTCAGCCCTATTCATGAAATACATGTGATCTTCTATTTAACTTGTTAAAGTCTTAATAGAAAGTGATTTTTCATGCTATCTTACAGTCGGATAAGGCTAAAGGGGTGATCTGTCTGCCAGGATTTCAAGTCAGCCTCTCACCGGAGAATAAAAGATCTCAGTAAGTATGACATCACTTTGTGTACAGTAAAACCTGCTCAATACCAACACCTATGTAAAGTCCTCCTATTTGTACATGTAATGACTAAATGTACATTGACACAATTTGTAATATTTTTGAGTGGTTTGGGCGCTTCACTATAAAGTTAAGATATATTGAACAGGACAGGAAAGCCAAATGCATACTAGAACATCCATATTTTTGTTTGTGTTTCTTTGTGGTTTGTGCAAAACAAAATTGAGAGATCAAAATTTCATGTCAAGGTTATCATCCTTGTTTAAACACTCCAAATATTGATGGATATTGTCATATCTAACAAATCAAAGATATAGTTTGTTTATCCTAGTTAGCATACCGTATTATGTTTAGCGTACTCATAGGTATGTATCTGTATTTCCATGCTGCATTTAAAAGTAGAAAACATGCTTATTTGCAAAGCAGTGATGGAATTTATTTTGTCTAATCTCTGTTTGATAGTGCCTTCAAATTAAAACATGCGGGAGTTATCAAAGACATCTTACTAGCAGCCAATAATCCAAAAGATCTAAAGAATTGGATGGAGAAGTTGCAGCTAGCCACCATTATGCTGCAAGATGAATCACGTGTGAGGCAGTCAACAATCATCACAGAGAGCATCCTCAAGAGATTGGATCCTACGCTGTTAGGTAAGATGGGTGAGGAGGTGCTGGTGGTATTTGGTGGTGATGATGATGGTGATGATTGTGGTGATGATCATGGTGATGGTAGTGGTAGTGGTAATAATAGTGGTGGTGATGATGATGATGATGTTGATGATGGTAGTGGTAGTGGTAATGGTGGTGGTGGTGATGATGATGATGATGATGACGACGATGGTGGTGATGATGATGGTGGTGGTGGTGATGATGATGATGATGATGACGATGACGATGATGGTGGTGATGATGATGATGGTGGTGGTGATGATGATGATGATGGTGGTAGTGGTAATGAGGGTGGTGGTGATGATGATGATAGTGATGATGATGGTGGTGATGATGATGGTGGTAGTGGTGATGATGATGGTGGTGGTGGTGATGATGATGGTGATGATAGTGGTAATGATGGTGGTGGTGATGATCATGATAGTGATTATGATGGTTGTGATAGTCGTGATGATGATGATGATGATGATGATGATGATGATGATGATGATGATGATGATGACGACGACGACAAAGACATTGATGATGGTATTGGGGGTAGCAGTGGTGATACTAATCATGATGCTTGAAGAATAATAATAACATGATTAGTGATGGTGACAGTAGGGCTTTGTCTCATCAAAGTTATTATCATTGAAAAATTACATTAAACTTTTATAAGCTAAATGGAATCATTTGCATTTTGGTATTTGGATAATTGTGATGTGGTTGGTATTAAAATAATTATAGCATCCTAGTATGATGTTCTCTGTCATATGTAGCTGTCTGAAAGTATTAAGATCACCATGTTAGGATCCAAAATTTGATTTCTCATTGAACTTATGTTAGTTTTCTGGCTGTGATTAAAATAAATATATATTCAGATGGCATCATATCTCTTGTTAGCATAATATGAAGATATCTATACATACAACACTGTACGTAACATAATTATTTATGAATTCTGATGAACACAATGCGACCAAATGAAGGCTATTTTGCCAATAAACAAGAAGAGGAAATATCCTCCAGGTCATTAGTATCATATTACTTGTACACATGAACACTGTTGACACTACAAATATAGTGCATGAATTCTTGTTAATCAAAAAAATTACATATCATCTTTGATTCACTATACATTGTTCTTGGTTTTATAATTTTTTTATACCAGGTCATTTTTTCATCAGGAATCTCACTATTAATCATTCTGTGGCTACAATTCCATTATCGCATAACCATTATAAGATTGTGTGGAGTGTGGTCGTACTATTGGGTTTATAATAAAAGGATTCCTTGCAAGATACCAGCATATTGATTGGAATGAAACATAAAGCAATGGTAGGGGCGTGTTCCGGTTTATTCTATTTGAAGGGGGAGGGGTGGGGAGGTGTTTCATACAGTATGAAATCATGCAAGCAGAGTACATACATTGAGGTGACCGTCAAAACCATATTAAAGTTCTTGATTCAGGTAGTGAACAGAGTAGACAATGTGGCACATACACAGATTGTTAGAATGACGTCACCAGACGCTGTTCACTTTTCATTGACATAGCAGTCAAAAGCCTTTACTATGAAAATGAGGAGGAAAAACCCTTACTCCCCCCGTCCCCCCGTCCCGGGTACATGTGTGACTAACTACGTGTACGTGTGCATGTAGGATAGAAACTCTCTGTGTGTCATTGTACATCCTGTCCTGGTACCTCATCATTCATACATTAAATATTATACAAGAGAAGCAGCCACTGCTGGAGTGATAGAATGGGGAGTCGAGGAAGGATTGGTTTCTCATTTTTTCACAAGAAAAAAGAGAGAAATGAGGATGCTTCTGAGCACAGTAAGATATGATTGTTATTGCACATGAACCATGAATTTAAAATTTGTTTGATTGTGTAGGTGTTTGTGAGAGTATGATGTCTTTTCTTGTCTCATGTCATTTTTCTTGTTGTAAGTTTGATTACATTACAGCAGAGTTTTGTGCACTTTTTCCAGGATACAAATTCATGGGATTTATTCTCTTCCTGTTCTTCCTTATTCAAAGCTCTCAAACGTAGTTTCCATTCAGCATAGTTGTATTCATTTAAGCAGCATTCATTCGTTTTGATGAGTCTACAATTTCAGAAATAATGAACCATTCTTATCATAACTCTTCATGTCATACGCTAATCTTTTGTACATACATGTAGAGTTAAGATTCTTTTTCTTACATGTTTTCAATCGAAATGAAATTTGATTTGAAACTTTGAAACAAATTGATTACAGCGCAACCAACAAAATAATAATAATAATAATAATAATAAAAACGTTACTTATAAAGCGCTTATCACCGAAGTCTCTAAGCGCTATCTAGCCATTACCCTTAGATCTCTGTGACTGTTAAAGGTAATCAAAAGTTTTGGTATTGGGTCATGAATTTAGTTCAAATGAACATATTGGAGGCATATGCGATCCCACAATATTCAATGATCGTTGTCGCGGTTGAATTCGAGTCTAAGTGATGAAATTGTGAATAATATTCTCTTTATGTTGTATAGCAACCTCTCAAGATTGATATTACTTTAGCTTCAAAACAATGTTTCTTGTCTAATATTGACCGACCTTATTTTCCTGTTTGGAAATTATATATCAGAACTTCCGAGATTTGCATGTTCGCAACTACCTATTGTATGGCCGAAATTTATCGGGAGCGCCGATAAATTTGATAGTTTAATTTCTCGACATCCTTAGCGTTTTAGACCCCAATTTTTTCAAAGTTGTTTATTCTCACTCTAGGTTTCACAGTGGTAATTCAAATTTTGAATTTCATAATCCAATCCTGTTGAAATAATTCCCAAACTTTGTATTACCTTTAATGAGTTAATCAGTATGTTAAAAAAAAAGTCCTTCTCATTTCCAGTGTCAAAGGTAGCTACATGTATCACACAGTGAAAGTTACGGTGTTCCAATTGGGCCACTATGATTAAACTACTTTATATTTCTCTCATTCCAAATGACACAGGTGGTTACCACAGCAGTGAAAGTACAGACGAGGACAATCGCAAGGGAAGCTACGAAGTCACCACCCAGGACTCTGGTGACTCTTCAGATGCTACATCAGTAGGTACCAACAGCCAGCCAGGAACCATCAACTCTATGACTCCAGGAGCTGCTGAAGCCATAGCGACCCTCAAAGGTGAGCCATCATTATCCATCAGCATGCTCCAGTATGACAGCACCACGTATCCTACCGGGGCCAGGGAGAAGAGCAGTCGTCCCAAGGGACAGCTTTTCCTCCCTGAGAGCCCCCCATCCTCAGGAGATTCCACTCCGTCGTCGAGTCCTCAGATGCAGCGCGTGGGATGTGTGCCCAAATTCTTATCCAAGTCTCCCAAAGCGCAGAGAGGAATGCAGGGGCAGTATGATCTATCTACTGCGGAGGCAGGGCAAGGGGACATTCCTGGTTTCACTGAGGTTGACAGAAGCAAAACAAAGACGGCAAAGGATGAAAAACGGGCAAAACAAAGCGGTAAGGAATGGTGGCTTAATAGAAACTTTTATCAAAGAACCAGGATGAAGAAAACAGATATATTATTACTGTAGACAGGGTCATACTCTTCAAATCTTCACAGTATTGAGACTCTGGTTCTGATGTGATATGTGCTACAAACAATCAGACTGCTATCACTATTATCTTACCAATATTTTGTTCTTGTTTTCAAATATGGTACTGACAAAATATCACCCACATGTGATGGCAAATGAAAAGATGATCAAGATTTTTTTTTCTACTCTGTATTTCTTTCATCCTGGTTTTTATGGTAAAAAGTTATGTTTTGAAAGGAAGAGGAGTTCTGATTATCCTGACAGTTTGCAAAATTGCTCAGAAAAACAGATAAAAATACAAGACCTTGTTCTTGTTTGACAAAAAAAGAAGAAAATGTTGTAATTTGTTTTAAAGCATTAAATACTATCAGGCATCATCTTCTAAAACGATGTGATGTAAGGATGAGAACGATGTTACTAATTTTGTAAATTACATACCTGTTTAAAATGTTTGATTAGGCCTTAGTCTGTTGTAAATCTGTATTTCAGTGATAATCAAAACTACCTCTTCAAGCTTGGAGGTAGAAATGGATTTCTTTTATCTAAGATTCTAATAATGCTCAAGTTTTTAAATGGAAATACTAAGCAAGAAGTTTGGCTTATGTTCATGGAAATAAAACCAATGATGTACAAGTGTCTAGGTCCCTGTTATGAGTCTAATGAAAGACATCACTGTATTGGATCCCTTTACATTATTGGAGATAAAAAGATTTTAAAAAGGAATAATCCAAAATGTTCATAGTTTCCCATTTTCAAAATCCTATCTATTCGTGAGGATTCCACTACTTGATATCCCAAGTTTGGAATGTATTGGATATATTATAATCAGACTGAAATATAACCTACATCAAGGCTGGACACTAACATGTACGGGGGACACATGGGCGCCCCGAAATTGAAGTCTAGAACCGCAAAGTATTAACAATTTTACATAGTGCTCACGCAAACAGACTGTAAAAGTCCAATTCCGATCCCCTTCCAAAAAAAGTTAGTAATGGAGCCCTGCCAACATGTACGTCGTGACCAGTTTGTATTGAAAATTGAAATCCATTTCTATTTCCAAGCTCCAATATCAGACCGATTATAAAGAACATTTCATTCATTCCATGCATTCTTGTGCCTGTCTATTTGCATGTGTGTATTGTTGATCATGTATTAGATATTGAATACGAGGGGGAAAAGGCTTTCCCTAGCATGCAATGATATTTGATTTGATTTGATTTTGACCAATGGAAATGAAATGATACAAGGTGAGTATAGTGTGTCATGAGGAGCAGAATATTTATAAAGCAATAAACAAAACAACCTACAACAATAAAAAGAAGAAAAAGAAAATGTTATCACATTAAAGATTACTCAAAATTTGAAAGTCGCTGTTAGCAAGTTTTTGTCCCTGCTTTTTTTATTACCCAACAGGTTTTGAATATGTAAAAGGACGACTAGAATAATGCAAAAATTTCTTTCACCAAAATATTGAAATAGACAATGCTGTACAAAATAATAAAGAAATTGCAACAATTTCCATGTTTTGACATGCCTATTTTGCATCTATTTCTGCCCTGCTGCCAGACACATGTTGGAATTTCACTGTTTGATGATGAATGTGGATTGTAGAAAGAGCATGAAAAGGATGTCTGTATGAATGTACATGTATGCATTGTGCCACTTCAATCTTCAGCTAGATTGCCCCTATCTGAGACCAAATTATCAGATGTGGTGTATATTTATTTAAAACAAAATCTCTCTTACTATTTTTTTCCTAAACACATGATTTGCATATAGTTTAGGTTGAGTGACCTAGAATGAACATAAATTCATAGCAATCAAATATTACTACATGTAAATCTATTTACTGATCTAGTGCCCATCTTCCTCTACAAATTAAAAATAATGTTTTCTTATATAACTTGCTGGTATGTCATGCTTTGACACTCGTGCCATTTTGAGTCATGGTCACCAAAGTATCTAGTGCTCAAGCATATCAGGGGGTGTTTCACAAAGACTAAGATCGACTAAAGTTGGACTTGAACTATGTCAGACTGTTATGTCACTGGTTGCTCTCACCACTGTTGTTGAATTCGCGATCAATTAATGATTTGCAAAAAATAATTGCTTATACAGTACATGTAAGAGTCAGACAGAGCTTATTCTGATTGGAAATGGAAAGGAGCTACCTGTAAAATGGTCTAGCCTTGCATGTTTATAGCTGTGACATTTGATACTTTGTTTTTGTGAGTGTTTATTATGATTTGAAGTTTTTATTGTTTTAGCTTGCTTTATGTATGAGGGTAATTTCATGTGGATTCAGGGGTCTATTCATTCGTTCCCTTCTACTTAATCTTCAACTTCAGTTTATTTCATTTCATTTTCATTAATTTCATCATCATATACAAACTACATTAAAAAGACAAACAAAAGTCAAATTTAAAGTGACAAATAAAAAGGAAACTACAAAAGAGCGATGTGCTTGAAGGTTGTACATGCAGCTCCCATGCAATGAATATTGCATGATTATAAATGCGCTGTAGCATATATCCCATGATATCTACAGCCTGATGGTGTGATTTAGGAAGACTTTCAATTAGTCAGAAAAATGTCATCACTCCAGGAAAGAAATATTTGATGTGATGATATACTGCATAATCAAGTGTAGTGATGAGAAAACCAATCTTACAGATTTCCAAGCATGGTCAGTTTTTAATTTTGTTTTCTGTCAATAGCAAAATTAAATGCATGTAGAAAAGAGGGAATAATCTGTTGAAACAGCATTTCACTAATTCCTTGATAGTAAATTGCTATTCATTTTGTCTATCTCTCATCCCTGTCCCCAATTTACCAATGAATATGATTTTGTTTTTTGAGAAGGATTTTATAAATTAGTATCACCAAGTCCATAACTCTTCAGCATGCCATTACGCCCGCTGTCATTTGCCTGCCTGCCTGCCTGTATATCATCATAAGCTCCATGGATGAGGTCTGATTTATTAAAACAAGCCACCATTCTTTATAGTTCTCTTTGACCGTGAATGTTTTGTTTTATGTAGATTGTATTTATTTCCATAAAGCTCTCAAGACAGAATGAAAATTTTGCTCAATGGAAGGTAAGCCTCAGTCAACCTCTTGTATCGGATTCTCCTTGTTGCCAACGATTTTGCAGTTTTTTCCCCTCTCATTAAAGGAATCATTTAACAATGTTAAATCTAAGGTGCACAGTCCTACGTTTTATCAGTGTCTGTGATATGGTATATTGAAGCCCTAAAAAATTTGCGCTTCAAAATGATCAAGAAGTGCCTCAAAAAAGTAAAAATCTTTGAGTGACTGGTTTTACCATACTTGTTTTCCCCAATAGGAAAACCGTTAGGAAAACGCAAAATTTGGTTTTGATTTCTTATGATATCAGACAGCCGATCGACTTGTAAAAGTCATGGGGTTCCTGACTGACCTAAAGTTTATAATTATCATTGCAGCATGAGCTAAATCAAGGATTTTGTTTCAGAATCTGAGACAAAGTTACCGGATCCCTTTAATGAGCAGCAGTGGATTGAGTTGTGTCAAACAACCAAGAATTTAAACAAACAGCTACTACATGTCATGATTTAGCATGTATGTTAGACCCAAGTTAAGTTGTGATGAGAAAGTTTCAACCGTGAGATCACGCTAAAAGAGATGCAATTGAGTTAGCAATGTGTTAGCCATGTTTGATGGCAAGTTGCATTGTCCTAAAAGTTGGTTGATTACTCTAAACAAACCTTCTTTTAAGGGTTATGTACCATCTTATGATTTCAGATATATGTAATCCTGTTGTTGATGATGGTGAAGTTGATGATGATGATAATGAGAATGACAACAAATTTGTCATTGGGGATGTCAATGATGATATTGATGTTCTCAACGATAATAATGTTGATGATGATTTTGATGTCATCAATGTTTTTGATGATGTTGTTGATAAAGAGTGAGATGATGATAGTGACGATAATGTTGATGTGGTCGATTGTGATGTTGAAATTTGATGGTAATATAACAACCCTCTCTGACTTCCATCCTATTGCTGATATAGAGCAATCAAATAAAGATGAGCTTGTTGAGGCATGGAAGGAGATAGATGGTGTGACGATCAAGGGTTTTGATAGAGTTACCAGCTTCAGAGCAAAGAAGAAAGAGAGACCAGCCCTTAGAGTGCCCAAGCCAGAGATGAGTGACAAGGATAAGAAAGTATACCAGAGGAGAATGCTTGAGAGAAAATTGAAGGTAAGGTTTATAATCGATAGATGAAATCAAGGTTCAAATTGGCAACACTGACTATTTTTTCCTTCATGTCACACTATCCCTATGAAATCAAAGCATGTTTTTGGAATGACATCCTTCAATGAAAGTAGGTCAAAATTAAACTTTAATGAATAGACAAATTTTATGGAATAACAATTAAAAAAAAAATGTATATGTAAATGATTTGCCACTCTGCAGACTTCCTTTTCATTTTTAAAAATTCTAGAATTTAAATGGGTTGTTTTTATATTCATAATAATTGGGAATGTCATTAATTGGGTATGTCAGACATGTTTCAGAGTTTCAGACTCAACCCTCTGCCTGAAATTTACAACAGAATTCAATCTTATATATCTCTGGCTACACACAATGAATGTTGCATCATCAGGTTAAATTCTGTTTTAATATCAGGCTTAGGATAGAGTTTAAAACTCTGAAACATTAAATGCCATACTCAATAGTTAATCAGTCTGATGATTCATAGTATTTTTTAACTTAAGGTCTCCTTGTCTTTTTTTCCCCTCCACTTAAATGCATTATATGAACTTGTTCCTTATAAGTGTTTCTTTTATATACTCTACATGTTATAAAATTGTTAATATTGTATTATATTCATGTTGGAAGAAAGACAAATAAACTTGAACTTAAACCTGAACTTGAACTAGTAATTTTTTGAACATTCCACCAGGCAAAGCAAGCAGAGCTAGAGAGTGTTGATCGTCTCCTAGGCAACCAGGTGGTATCAGCTACTGTTTTGACTGAGTGGAGAGAACAGCATGATGATATCTTGAAGTCGTTAGACGGACAAAACAAAGACCACGTTAGTAGTGATTCAGATCCTGATAGGTAAGACCAACAAATCCTCCCGCTTAACATTTAACATGTTAAAGGTATAGACCAGTTTTGGAAACGCCCCCCTCTCAAAAAATGAAATGGAAGCTCTTATTACCAATCATGTGAAAGAATATGTTTTGACTAATACGTGATGATACAAATTCTGCCGGGAAACTGCCTACTAATTGATATATTTGGTAAATTATTATATCTATCCGGGCTGGATAGATATAGTGTAGTCCCATATATTTCTGTGTACAGTGGTTGTAACTTTACCAAGACTCAGCCAAATTTCTTATCATTTCGATGATTCCAGAACCTTGCAGTACACACCAATACTTATATGCTAGATGATCAACCTTTTCTGATCGATTACACAACGTTTTTTTTTTTACAATGCAATCGCATGACCAGAACTGGTTATACCTTTAATATTTTGGACTACTTAATGCTCACCTGTATGTACATGTATCATTGATTATTGGGGTTTCAAGAATATCGTGGCAAATGTACCACAGCATGAAATACTCTATTAATCTATCAGGACATTTATGAAATGAAATGTATGTATGTATCAACAACAAAAAGGATTAGAAGTGTGATGGACAGTTCAGAAATTTGAGGAAAATACAAAACATTGAGAGATTCTTGCCATTTAAGAAACATTCAGAACTTGTCCCTTAGTATTCTTCATAAGGTATGTAAAGGAAATGGCAAAGTCATAAATGTAACACCCATGCAATGTTTCTATACCCTTATGGCAATATTTTAAAACTTTCTTTAACTGTTTTCTTAACTTAATTTTCTTAACTATTATGTAATTATGTAGAGGTGTCAAGGTCTAGTGAATATGTGACTGGACTGTGGATCATATGGTTTGGGGTTCAAGTCCCATCGCCACACTAATGTCCTGTGGCAATACATTAATGTTCATTTGCCACTGTCCACCCTGGTGTTAAATGTATACCTGGTTGGATGCTACCGTTGGTGTGGTTGGATTAGCTTGTGTGCTGGAATACTCCCTGGGGAGCAGAGTGTGTGCTCTATCATGTGCGAATTAGCATTTGAATCCAATGACCTGGATAATAATAATGAGAATGTGAAGCCCTTAGGAATGTACATGTAGTATTGAGCGCTTTACAAATGCAACTATCATTTTATTTTGTGAATTTTTTTCTGTAGCACTACAGACATGGCGCTATCGTCATCCATGTCATCTATAAACACCAACTCCACCACGACGTCCACTCATGATCGTACCACATTCCTTGGGGAAGACATGACAACGGTCAGCGACGGGACGACATCAGGGTGCGATGTCCAGACACCCATGAGTGACACTGCATCGGCTATCGGTGAGGAGGAGGGAGAAGATACTCTGAAATCAACAGATTTGAGTGGTTCTACGCATCTTTCACCGGAGAGATTGGATGCGGATGCAACAAGGAAGACAGACCCGGGGCCAGTATGCGATGATGGTGACTCTGCCTTTGCTAAGTCCGAGGATGGGGATGTGGTGGTCAGTAGGACCAAGGACAATGTGAAACTAGGCACAGGGAGGTCAGAGAGCGAAGCTTCAGAGACCAGTCTTTAACACTCGTTCCTTGGACTGTTATTATGTAACATTGTGATAGATGTATCCAACACAGGACTCCATCCAAGCTTAATGCTGTGTCATTGATGTCTTCATTGATGAATGTAAGTCATAATGTCTTCAACTAAATCCTTGTCCATCGCATAGACTGTTGCCATCGTGATAGATGCCGTCAACATAGGACTACAAAACCTGTAGCTACACCATTGACCGTATCATTGAATATGTCATATTTGTTGTCACCATATCGCATCAGTAGAAGTGCCTGCAAGTCAATATTACTCTAACCATCCGCTCATCCTTCTAATGATATATATTGTGAACTATCGGTCCTTCTGTAATGAGTGCTTAAGCATAGTATATATCGAGTGTTAGTCCATTAAACATTACCAAACACAAGAAAACCAAATTGTTCTTTGCACGACTGACAGTTCAACCTCAGTATAGGTTCCTTTCAGAGTAACTCGAAATCCTACATATCTTCTATTTGGGGCCAGAAGGGTTCACCCTATCATTCTACACAGCGTTAATGCCCTTCTGTCTTCAAACAGATGATATTCATCATTGCTACATCACGTAATAAAACTCCATTTTATCTAACCAAGAAATCCCTCAAATGCCTTTTCAAATTTTAATCAGTGACATCACATATTTTATTTTCTTTCTTTCTCATCTTGTGGAGACTACAATTTCATGCCACTTCGATGAGAATAAAACTTGCGTAAGCTCGCCTGATATTGCAGTGGTAGTTGCATATATGAAAAATTTCACATGACAAACTTATTGACTTGCATAAAAGAATACTTTTGCAAAATATTTTCCATTTAATTGTCGTTTATGACCCTGTTTTGTATCAGCAGTATTGCCCTCTGGTAAATGTAAGTTAAAGAAACATGACATCTTTGCAGTTGTTCATTTATGTATGTGAGGATCAGTTTTTGTTTGTAATCCACCAGTATTTGATGCTGCAGCCTGTTTGCTTCCATTCTTTGTGCCTGGTCAATATGTTGGACAAAAGGGGTTGTACACAACATCTGTTTCCATTGCCAATTATATAGAATAAAACAGCACCAAACGTGAATTAACTAATTTGATTTCATCTTCACACAAATAGAAAATCATTCAGTGTTTTGATGTGATACTGATTTTAGTGCTGTGATAATTTCTACTATAATAACATATTTGACTTCTAGACTAGCCATACGATGATCAAAAACTTGAAATTAATATTATGGAATACATTATTGCAAGTTTCTTGTGTTCTTAAATGTTTAATATCCTTTGGATAACTGATCAAGTAAATGGCTTTTATGGTGCTCTGGTATGTTTTTTGCAACTGACTCTATTGGCTTGAAATTGAACAATGTTGCTTGGTATTTTGATATTGCTACTTCGAACCATTTAAACATTTTTTTTTTTATTAATGACTATATAACTATGGTGCAAATCATTCTATGCCTTGTTGGCATTGTTGGCTAGTGCAACAACAAACCCAATCTATACTCATTAACATGTGTGTTATAAGATACAGAAATATGAACCACACTGCACTTATCTTGTTCAAATTGGCATTCTTTTCGAAATGGTGTGCCGCCTATGTCTGAATAGGCATTTTTTTAGCAGCTGTTTGAATCATTCTATGCGTCCACCTCTATTTCACAGAATGAAATTGTCAGTAAATTCTGTGGTCATTTTGCACCATTTGAAAATTGATTACAAACAATTTCTGAATTGTGCTTCAGTTAGATACATGTAGATTCTTGTGAAGTTTACAAGCAGAAATTGTGAGTGCAGTTTTCAGTAAAGGTGTAATTCTAACTGGTATTTGTATGTTGTATTTAATTTCTCATCAACTTGTAACCAGAGACATCATGTTTCGGAGCCATCAAATTGGTTTTCTGATTTATCCATTGAACTTTTTCATATCTTGTGTATTACATTTGGCAGTGGTGCTCCACTTTTCCAATTATGCAAAGAAACAAAGACATATATATATATTGTTGCTTGTTAATAATTCTTCATTTCGATATTGTTTGTACCTAAGTTTCCACGATGCCCTCTGTAGAGTTGATTGTTTATATTCCTCTTCAACCCTCAGATAGGTGTCATTGTGTTTCATCAATTCACAGATCAATCATCTTAGATTTCAACATTTGATTATTTTGCAATTTATTTTAAATTCATGAATCGTTTCTTGTTTATCAAAGAAAGTAAAGTTGATTCCTCCATTAGATGTGACTACAGGGATATGTCATATCCAATTGCGCCAGCATTTTAAAGGCTCAGAAACTAATACATGGGACTACATCCCTCTGCTGAGAGCCAGAGGGACGTTAACTAACATCATTTTACATTTCATGATAATGTCCTTCTTCCTCTCAGCAGAATTCATACTCTCTCTTGTTATGGGGTAAAGGCATTAGCGTCAATGGGAAATGGTCACTCAATGACATGGTCACTCAATGAGCATGGTCACTCAATGACATGGTCACTCAATGACATGGTCACTCAATGACATGGTCACTCAATGAGCATGTGTTTCAATATTATATTCTGTAATTGTTGATGGTTGTACTGTATGGCAAATATACAATCACTATATATTATATATTCTCACTATGCAAGCTAAAGCAGTTTTCACAGACAGTTTGTTTATATGTTGTTGGTGTACATATGTATGAATGTAAATTACATGTAGATTAAGAGAATGTTTATTAATAATTCTCTGTTAGGAGCCAGATATAATCTCACATAGAGGTAATGCCCTTCTGGCTCCAAACAGACACAATATCAAATACTTGCCTCATCAATGTATCATGTCCCATTGCATGTAGTAGAGACAGTGGAATGTTTTGTATATTTATACTAATCTTGATATATTCACTGGGGCAATTTTCACCTCCATACTGATGGTTCATGGAGAAAAGGAACCAAATTTTAATTTTTTAAATTTCTCAGTGCTCACTATCACCCCCGGCATTGATGACTTTTATTACTGGTAAACAATAAATGCATTTTGATTTTTATCGATTTCATTTCAGTTTAATCCCACGGATGGAATAGACTCCATATTCGGTGATATAGGCCCTAAAAAGTATGTCCATTTATCAAATTGTGTTTGAATCTGTAACAAAGGGATGCTTGCAAAGAATGTATAGTATTTGTAAACACAGATATTTACTACTTGTAACATGTTACCTTTTGTCACAATGGTCAGCTTTGGATACAGTGTATTATGCAGAGTAGCATTGAGTGCTGGAAGGGCTTTTATGAACAATACCACAATTTGGAACATAATCGTAGAGCAAAGTACCTCATTGGTTTTTGTACTTTTACACTTTTGTACACATTTTGCAACTTTATATCAAGTATCTGATCAAATCATGCAAATCGCTTCATTTTTTTAAATTGATAACTAGTATGCAATATATAGGTTATTGTGGCACAGACTTTATGAATTCATATTTTATTATATATGTTATGATGGAGTGATGAATATTCAGTGTGTTAAAACAGTTATATTGCACTTAAGTGGTAAAAGCCTAAATGAATACAAACTCTATAGAATGCATCCTGTTGTAAAGCAATTTGTGTTTGTTATGATTTTTAAACCGAATTAATGTTCTATTTATTATTGTTTATTGAACAGAATAGTTCCGATCCCAACTGATTTGTTTTAATGAATGTGGGTGCTATCCTATTTGCATGGATATGAACAAACTCTATCAACACTTGATGTTGTATAATAGGCATACTACCCTCCAACCCTGTTTGTTTCTTTCTAAGGAACCTTACTGATGCTACTGTATGGTTTTTGTCACATACAAGTTTTGTTTACTGGTGTGAAATTATTTCCATGGGAGAATTGTCATTTTGATGATTTTTCATCAAAAGGTGTTTGAGTCACAGTCCAAATTTCTTCTGTTGAGATAGCTAAATTCTCTTTTGACATTTGTGAAGTTGCGAAGGAGAATTTATCATATAATTACAGTATTTGACAATTCGTGTTTTGAATGAACTCTTGAGTTAGTTTAATTTTGCCCCTCTTCACGTATATGTCATCATTTTCAATCAATACACATGTATATTAAAAGTGATTGAAAAGTTTAGTTGAGTGGCTATACATTGAATGAGCTTAATTATGCTCAATATATTTCCACCACCCTACTGGAATTAGATTGTACTAATGCCTTTTAAACCTGATAAGTGACTACTTATTCACCTCTCTTATAAACTGCCTTTTGCAACTCATGTAAGCCTTTAGAAAAAAGAAGATAACTTAATACCAATAGACTGCCTTGTTAAGAATCGATTGAAAGGGGAAGTCTACCCTGATAATTAGCTGGTAGTAATACATAAAAACAAAAAACAAGAGAAACAAATTTGTGAAAGTTTGAGGATCATCCGATTTATATAGGAATTTTTTTGTTTTCTTCAATTTTATCAAACTTTAATTTTCTTAGTTATTGATGACAGAATAGATTTTGATTCATACAGGGGTAATATAAAATATATTTGCAGTATTTATATTGAGGGTGCATATATGATTGGGAATTTTCCTTACAGCAAAAATAGACATTTCCGATTTTTGTTAGTACAGAGCAAGTAGGAGGGGACCTGGTAAGATACCTCACGGAGTTGATAATTTTTGTTTGATTAATCACACATTCAAATAACTTTCTTATGTTTAATCGATTTCTGCTCAAACTTTCACTGACCTGTTCCCCTTCCTTTTCTGCATTTATTAAAACCAACCTAATATCAGGGTAGACTTCCCCTTCCAGCAAAGTGTAAATATTGTCGAAATACACAAGCCTTTACTTTTATAATATTTCTCACTGTTTATTGGAAAGCAAACCTTTACAAAGCTGCGCGATCGATTTTATTCCCTGAATCATTTGGCCGCAGCTCGACATTTTCCTCTCAATGCAACCAAGTATTTTGGAGAGCTTTGCAAACAAAAATGTGTATATCAGATTTGTTTGAAACGATTAGGTACAGTAATCTATTATTGATATTTGCAAAGATATTTAAAACCAGAAGAAATCAGTGTGCATTGTAATTTGTACATCAAAGTTCTAATTATATATGATTATATTTGCTACTGAATTTTATCAAGATATATTGCTATGGAATAAAAGATCATATGGGATTTGGTGAAATATTTTTGTTCTTTACTCTGTTTGCGTTAGTCAACTTTTTATTGACAAGTGGTGTCATGTCGCAGAGAGGGAATTGGCAAGGAGGAACATTTAGAGAATGGAAAGAAGCAGTTAAAGAAAGGGAAAGGAGGGTAGGAGAGAGAGAGAGAGAGAGAGACAGAGAGATGGGTTGTAAAGCGGGGAAAACATGGGAAAGATAAAAAGAGGAAAGGAGAGTGAGAGTGGAGTGAAATAGAGAGAGCGAGAGAGAGAGAGAGAGAGAGCGAGAGAGAAAGAGAGAGAGAGAGAGAGAGAGAGAGAGAATGTGTGATATAGAGGGGAGAGGGAGAGAGAGATGAGAGACTGAATATGAGAAGCTACACGTACAAACAAACGCCCAACAATCACAGACAATGCCATATTAACTTCATGCCATGTATCTATGGAGTAAAACTAAAATTCAAGTGGAAATGTACATTAGAATGTGACGGTTAAAAGTATTGAAAAGTCATTATCACTAATAATGATAGGAATCTCGTGTTAAGAGCTTTTGAAGAGCTGTTCTCCAAGTGTCACATCACACGTCAGTACTAATGCTCATGTACCCTATAAATCGTAACTTTATTCTTGGTCCAATATTTCCATGAAGACCAATTTCTAGTACAAAGGACCACTCTTACGTAGACCCCTTTCTTTCTTAACTCTCACCTCCCTGACTACAGCTGTCCCTAACTCTTCCGCAATTTAACTCTCTTAAAATAGAGGTACTCACAAGTGTTTGTTTTTTGGAGGGGGAGGGGCATACGGCCCTAAATTTTCCACCGGTTTCCATACCGAAAAAAAAGGAGTTATTTTTCTTCAACCTTTCATTTTTAGTACATTGCGCAGTATATTTTACGCACCAGCCCGTGCGCAAAACGCGTATCCTCTTTGAGAGCCAATCAAATCATATGAAAGTGTACTTTGTTGTGACGTAGTATCAAACACAAAATGACGTCAGTGGTAACCTAAGCGCATTTTCTGTAACAGCCAATCAAATCAAATGACGATATGTTATATTGTGACGTGGTTCTAAACGCAGGATGGTGTCTGTGGCAGGTTGTGGTAACCTAGAAACAACCCTTTATACACAGAATTTTGTAGGCCTACGTAGATACCTAACCTCATATCATTTTGTTGTTCTTGTTAAGAACACATCGGCAAATATTATTGCATCGTGTAAATTGTAGCCTGCATAAAAAGAGTAGCACAGAGGATATAGTCACCGGTTGCAATTTATTGCATAAATCGGCAATATTTTACGCAAATTTGCCATGTTTCTCTCAAATTCTGGTTTTGGTGTTGTGGCTTCTTCTAGTCCGCAGTTCGTGGTCATCGACCAGGGACGAACCAGCACTGTCGAAGTCAACGACATCGATGACTATTTCTCTTGCGGTCAGTCGCTTCAAACATATTCCGATCAGCCATTAGATTTGTCAATTCGAAAGGAAAATAAAGACGAACGTAATAAAAACAATGGATTATCATCAAAGGAAACCGCCATAATAGGATGCAATTCAGATAAAAACAGCGCAGTAGGTACTCCATCTAACCTGTGGGATATCAGGGTAACCAACGTTCGATCACTTGTTGAAAATCCCTTAGCTATAGAGACTGATGCGTTACAGTATGAAACATCGAGGACAGAAAGCGAGAGGAGTTTCGGCTCAGGCATAATACAGACCAAAAGGGACATATCAATGTCTAATGATCACTTGGATTTGGTTAATGTACAAAGAAAGGCACGCAAATGTTCTTATCCACTAACGCTAAGCCCGAATCCAACATTGATTCATGGACTAAGAAAAATAATGCCTCGACCTTCATACATTGACGAAACCCTAAGAAACGGCAAGGAGTTACCAGGGAACCTCAAAGACCCATCTACTCTGGCACTTGATAGAAATTATCCGATACCTGTAAAACTTTTCAGAAGCAGTGACAATGAACAAAATATATCAGTGACAAGAAATAATAAATCGGAAGGAAAACGTGAGACACAGACCAACATGGTGCAGGGGTATCCCAAACAAAGTCAAAGGTAAGTTTGATATTATTATTTGCATCAAACTATATTGATAACGGCTAATGTTAATCGTCGTTTTCTTATATTGATGGTGAGCATCGTGATTTTCCACATTTCTTTGATAATTAATGAAAAAGGAGAACCTAGTATAATTTTTTTGTTAATGTTGAAGAGCATAATGTCAAAATAGATACAAATTGATTATGACAACGCAACCCCCCCCCCAAAAAAAAAAACACCAAACAATAATAACTTAGGTATTTTATGATAAGTCTTTGTGAAGTTATGTATTTTTGTTTTGTTTTATTTGATATCTCTCCATGTAGAAATCCTGTATTCTTCTTACAGTCGTCAAACTTGAGGAATAATCAAGTCATTAGTGGATCCCCAAATAGATCAAATTTGGAAAGCGTCTACCAACCACAACTTCAAATACCTTGTACCCTAGGCCTTGAGTCAGGTTTTAACACGCATGCGCTGCGACAGAACAATGTGCCAAACTCGTCACCCCGAAATGTGTCGGATGTAACATTCCCTTCTCCTACTTTACCTGCAAGTAATGCTCCTAAACGTCTCAGAAAAGACCCAAATCGCCTCTGCAACACCCCGAAGAGTTCAACAGACAAGAATAGAAGAAACAAACCCCTTTCAGACGAACTCCTCGCCAATCTTGAAGTTGTAAAGGTTCATCGTCGGCCTTATTTCCAAACTGATAGCAGGGAACTGGTGGAGGTTCGACCTCGCGGCTTGACGGATGACGGTCCAACTCTTCTTGCTTACCGAGAGTTGTCAGGTCATATAATGGTTGACTGGACGGCAAAGAGCAACTACCGAGCGGCAGAAAAGATCAAGGTATTACAAGATATGCTGTAGCACCGGGGATATACAAGAGAAAGGGAGAGAGACAGAGAGAAGAGAAAGAGAGAGAGAGAGAGAGAGAGAGAGAGAGAGAGAAAGAAAAGTGTAAGGGAAATGAACACTTCATATAGGCTTCCCCCACTCGATCCTGATTTTATCCACCGTTTTCACAACGTTCTTCTTGTAGATGAGCTGGTAATATTCGAGTTTTCTATCAAGCTTACCATCTTTTTCATGATCTCTTCATAAATAACTGGAATCCTGAACTCATTTCAATAGTGATATCAAACACCTCTTACCAGCAATATCCAATGTTCAACATAGACTCTTTCTAACATTGAAGGAAGTTTTGTCGAATTAATTTCAATGCAATATTGTGCCAATATAATTCCACTTGTCTCGCTTGTAGCCGCCCCAACATTTTTTGCGGATTCCTTTTTTGATAATATAATTTATTTTGTATCACTCTTTTCTCATGAAACTCAGGGACTGACGCGTTCAAACCTCAAGCGAACAAACGATCGGGATCAAGAACTAGACCCTGCGCACAAAGCCTCACCCACCACCACTGCGCAGTTTCCTGATGATGTCACGTCGCTACTTGCCAATGGTGTAGTGTATACCATCAGCGATGAGTAATTGCAGTTCATCTCAGCTAACAAGAAAAATTAGAGAGTAAACATTCTCAAAAAGGGGAGGGGGAGGGGGAGACTAATTTGTTTGGTTAGGTTATGATTGTTGTTATTCAGATTTTTGTTTCGGAATGATCATGGAAATTGCCGTATTGTCCCCGGTTTGACATAATTCACGACATCATCACAGATGGCTAACATAATGTCTGTCTATAAATCAAAATGTATGTTGAATGTAGAGTTCAATTGAGTTCGTAAGAATGTGAAATATGCGTTTTATGAAGTCTCTTTGAGGACCGTTTCCAAAATTAACATGAAAATGTTCATGATAAACACCTATATATTTCTGAGGATAAGTTCACTATTTCGCAGTTTGTACATGACATCAAACCAAAATCGCATTTTAAGGGAGATTAGCCTTTGTGGAGAAACATAGTAATTGTAGACCATTAGTTGATCCAAAACGATATCATGAAAAACAAGGCCCATCTTTAGTTGGCGTCTTAACGATCCAAATGTAATGGGATGGTAATGACAATCGCAGGATAAATGTAATGTTGACAGGTAATATAAAACAGGGAACATAAGAAATGCTCTTCATTATGCACATAGAAAAAAGGGGAATGATGAAAGCTATTAGCTCTTCTTCTTTCAAACTGGCATCACTGGTACTTTTGTTTTATTGTTCCTTTTTTTTGTAATGCATAATAATAAAAAAAAATCATGCATGTCCTTTATCAATTAATTAATTAATTAATTTATTTATTCATCCAATCATTCAAATTAAATAGCCGGTTGGCCTGGTATTTCATTAATTAATTCATGCATTCATTCAATTAAACCAATTAGTCAGTCGATCATATTATGTTAATGTCTCATTCAATCTGTCTGCCGTTCATCCATCCATTCATCCATCCATCCATTGATTCATTCGATCTTTCAATCAATCAATAATTTAATCAATCGATCACTCATTCTGACATTATTTCTTTGTAATGTTAATCGTTTGATCACTCTTTCAATATCATTATTTATATGATATTTCTTTCCACTTTCGTTGAATTACTTCTTAAATATAGTTACATTTCCTCAGTCACTAGCCCTGAATAAAAGTAAACTAGACACGATATGCATTATTTTTCAAGGAAGATCAACATTTATTCTCTTTCCAACTTACACATTCATTAATGTTCATTGTGATATTGCTATATTATTCGACAACGCTTTATCTTCATTCATAACTATCAATAAATCCTACATAAAATCAAAAATGATTATTCATTTTATATCATGAACAATGCCAGTTCTCCTTCTTAAAGAGATTGACAAACCACAGGTATAGTTATAACAGATAAACTTTACAAAGTATATTTGTAAGACAGAATGATCAGATTACTGATCTTAGACATAATTACATAATTTATACCATGACTCGTAACATCCTCTCAGTATAGGGAAGAACTTCTATCTTTTTTTTCTTTTTTAGCAGTAATACAATGGTGAACTGCAAGTTTTTTTTCTTCTTCATAATTTGCAGATCTTTATTCATATCTCAAACTAAACAGCTGATATTCTATGCACATTTATAACGCTCATATAGGCTATATATGAATGTACCACAATAATATTCAAAATATATGAAACGGCTTCATGTTTCAATAGCATAACTGACACGGGTTGGAACATGGAATTTTGCAAGTGAAAAGGTAACATTTGTAATATACTTACATATCACATATCAAGAAAATGCATTTCAGACAAAGCAAGTCATTCACAATTGTAAAACCACAATGGGCCCTTTTTACCAGTACTCCTGTAGAGCGAATTGTATTTCAAAGCAAGTTAAATCTCTTAAACCAAAGAATGACTCAGTTCATATGCCATTGATCAAATCTATATACAACACACATTTCCTCGTAGTATTTGCATCACAATAATACATCTTAAAAACATGTCATATTTAGTATCAATGGCTTAGCGATATTTTAAAAATACATATTTGGTATTGAAAAATTAATATACCAAAACGGAATGCAAGCTTTGTAATCTCCATTAAATTTTTTCTTCATGTGCAAATATCAAGACAAGATGTTCTCTTGTGTGACAAGACATCAAACAATTTTTATTTTTAGTGAAAACTGTTTCATAATTTATATACAGTATACAGTTAGTGCACACGTTATATACAGGACATCATTATACGCAACGCAATGCAAACTTTGAAATACCAGTTATAAGATGCTCCTTCTTGCTCAAAATGTCAGATAGAAACCAGATAAGTAATTTCCCGTAGAATAACTTTCACATGATGTTGAATCTTTAGTAACATTCCTCATAATATATGACTAAAGTGAAAAGGCTTGACATTTAGAAAATACCAACTGGCCATAAAACTAGAGTTAACCCAATGCTCTTTGGGAAAAAACGTATGTACAGTGTATTTTCCTTAATGTATGCACACAGAAGAATTTATTCATTCCAAATAGCATAACAACTCTAAAAAATCATTTAAAACTATCTCTACATTATTGATACAGTTTGCAATATTTGTTTATAACCGGAGAATGTAACCAGACTTTACAAAAAGACGAACAATTTTTGTTTGGCATTTGAGTTTTGAACTTCAGAAGGAATTTGTTGTCTGACAAAAAAAATATATGTCGCAATATCATTATACATACAAATCTCAGCGCAGACTTAACTTGTCAAATACATTATTTACACTAAGCAAAGGTTCATTGTACATTGATATTAGTTTAAAAAATGAAGAAACAACCTGCATTTATAATATGTCTGTTATGCGCTATAGATTTGTAAAGAAATCGAAAATACTACTATGTACATCATAATCCTGATTCGAACAAAGTAACTCGTTATGTTATGTTCACTATTTCATACGATAGTTCCAAAATAAATGAAAATACAGATTATGTTGTGCTTGTAAACAATCACGTGTATACAACAAGCAAATTCAAAGTCACAAACCTATCAAATTCCAAACATAATATAAGAGATATAACATTCATAGACATTATTGATATTAACCAATATACATGTACGTGCTTAAACCGTCGATATTTTTGCTTTTGTACAAGATATACATTGCCGCTAAATGAAACATGATAAAGATAAACAAGAAAAAGGAGTACTCTTATTTACATCAACCACAAACAAATTCTGTTTGTATTTCAATGGTGAACAATATCCTTTCATAATAATATAGGAAGTCATGGTTTATTATAACAATATACTATCAATATCAAATATCGCTATGCCTAGTAATCATGCATCAAAAGTTTCAAGAAGTAAATTTGTGTAATACCATATCCAGTTTTAGTACAACATTCTTGATAGATTTCTTATAATGAACTGAATTTACAAATGTTCTTCAGGGAAAGTGCCTCTCTAAATGTATGCGATTATATTATATCATCGTGACTACAAAGACACTGTATATTTACATGTATATGCATCCAGTACAATCAAATACAAATAGGCCTGCACTACGGATCGCTACTAATCATCATCAATTAAAGTTTCTCAAACTGATGTATGATAAGCAGTTGAACTATCGAAGTGATCATACATGATTTCAATAAAGCAAGACAATGATAAACATGAAAACGACTACATATTTGTATATATTACACGGTGTATAGTAATACACCGACAATAAATCACAACCTATTGAAGTGATAATTGACATTAAAAAATATCACTAACCTATTGCCGCATTGCATTACGAAATAGGTGGTTTACCTCTCAAAGGAGAGAGATCATATCTGGTTAATGTGTATGTTTCGTTGACAAGTTACGTAATAACGTAATGTCATTGTAAATATATAATGAAAAATACTGGAAACACTTGGGTATAATTATGTAAAATGTGTATAAAATTTTCCATCGTCATTACTTGGAAAACAAGTATAAGTAACTGAAATAAGGATGAAGTTAGTAATACAGACAGAATTGTTGTTGCTACTGGCATAATTACGTCATAAAAATACAAATATTATTCATAGTCTTCTAAAATACAACATCAATTTGATTGGCCTATGTAATTGAGCTTTATACAAATGTAATTATCATGATTCATCGACACTGGGAAATATAACTCGAGCTTGTAGTCCGTTGTATTGCTCATAAACATACGGATCAGTTTCATCGAATGCTGTTTTGAATAGTATTCTCTTGTCTAAGTTTTATTTTGCAAATGAAAACTTCATTAGAATGTGTATTACAAACATTTCCTTTATGAACGGCTTGTAAAGTAGTTAATAATACACATACAAACTAGTATGTCTCTTTCACATATACATAAAAATACCATACCATGAACAATACAGCGCAAGAAAAAGATTACTATTCCATTAACTACAGTTTGACGTTATAATAAACTATCTCTACATCTTCCAGTGCATACCCAATGTCAATAATATAGAAAGTCAATAATGCATAATATCATTAAATCATTTATTCATAATGCCATCCGAGAAAATATTTACAAAAAAAAGCCGATCAGTATTACCCATCAGGTTCTTATTGACGGCGTTATAGTTCAAGAAGAATTTAAGCACGCGCTACATTGACAATATTTCCAACTTCAATATCACAGTATAAGTGATCTCTTCATATCTGCCAGAGCATGATGACAGAAAAGTACAATAGTGTATATATACATATATCTGTATATAATTTTTTTTCGTGTGTGTGTGGAAAATCTTGCTGATATAACTATTCTGACTAATTAAAGCTTTCAAGAAATGCACGTAACAAAGAATCCCCAATCTGAATCCTGAACGATTCAATTATATACAGTATAAAGTACGTCCATCGATGTATCAATAAAGATTGATTACATCATTTTATACAATAAAGACAAGAATTCAAGGAAATGGCATTGTATCATTGTATAGCCTACTTCAGAGTTTTGTAAGGATATGATACAAGAGAAAGGTATAATAAGTGAAAATTGTATGCAAATTCTGAATAGTAATATCATATTTACTCATAACCACATGAAGTGGATTATGTAAATGTTATAAATGCCATTCAACACGTGGAATTCATTATTTACACAGCGACCTCTACAAACAAACGCATGGTAAAAATTTCTTTGAATGTACAATAAACATAATATATGTCACAATAAAAGCTTGAAATTAGAAATCGAAATATTATTGGCATTACACATTATGACATTGTATAACATTATATGATCCGTAGATTTAGAACGAAAGCCATTATCGTTTTCGCTCTTTAATCAATTGATCCATTCATTTATATAAAACACATTAAATATAAATCCCGTCCATCTACTTGGCTGGATTACTAAAAGGCTGTACAACAACATGAAATTAAAGGCGAAATCTAAATACAACAATTAAAAAATATTAAGAAGCATAAATTCATTGTAGGACGATATAGTGCTTCGAACATAGAATTCATCTGGATAATTATTTATTCAAATGAATGAAAAAGCACTTGCTTTGTAACCATTTATGATGTATAAACTGAAGAAACTGAAGTATTGACAAAGTTTTTGATATATACACGTATAAATTTACCTTCTTAACAAGCACATCTAATACAATGAACATGATTAAAAATTAAGTATTGATTTATCAGTTGATCACAACTATTTCAACACGCGCTGAAAAATATAACATGACTAAATATACATATGGTTCCAATGTGTTTATCATTGATTAGTAAATCAAAACAAATAAGAATAGTAATCACAATAACTGCCAATCTTGTTCAGGGGTCGATCATATCATTATTTGAGAATTCTTCTTCTGGGAGTATGCATCAGGAGGATAAAAGAAACCAGTTGTGCAATTATCCTATTTCGGTTAATTTAAGTCTATTGAAGCGAGGTCATATTCTTAAGATCTCAAGTTGAAGCAGGATAAAACAATTATATTGATGACTTTCGAAGATATAGTAATATTGGTAATATTCCGTGGAATATTACATAAATGTACATCGTATCCATGCGCTAAGAGTTGTAATCTGATGAAAATTGTTTTATTACAATGCAATGGATCTGTAAATGATTATGAACAGCTAATGAATATAAAATGCAGGTAACGTAGTGGGATATAATAAGAAATATTCCCGTTTGTGGAGTAATTTCAATTACACACGTTATTATTATAGACAGGCCTACATCGTTGCAATATATCGAAAGATCGTGCAAATATAATCAAAGGAGCCTCTCATTTATTTGCCATATTTTCTCGTTCTCTTTAATCAAGTACCATTTGCTTACAATAACCTTTCTGGTACTCTAAATTAGTCAATAAGTTGCTTTTTATCATGCATCATTATTCTCATGAGAATTGGTGCTTGAGATTGGGACCATTACCTTCATGACCAAAAAGTGCTTCGGAATCTCAGAATATCGAGATCGTATTCTGCTTACCAAGAATATGTTTAGTACACACATTTTGTCTACAACGCAAGCACCAACATATTTAATAAGATAAACGCTGACTAATACCACTGTCGCTGAAGATCTAGAATTTGAAATGCTTTCGGATTTCTTCTACGATGTCACTAGCACATTGCCTGGCTCTCTCTGCATCGGACTGGGAGAACCGTTCACATGGGACTCTGTGTCGAAATATACTTGCCCCTGGATACATACAGTCGTTCACATCGACCAGTATGTTCAGTTGACGAGCGCGGTCAGTGACGGTCTTGTCACGGAAGTGACCCATCAAATCAGTCACGAGGACGTCCAGGTTGTGCGAGGGGTTAGAAGTCCCACGCGAGGCAAACTGAGCTGCTTTCAAGGCCTTCTCCGCTGCATGGTAACTCTTGAAGCACACCCATTCGTTTGCTTCTTTTCCAAGATCATTAGAGGATGCTGACAGGTCTGATTTAGCTTGTTTAAACCAAGTTGAGGCTCTTGGCATATCGGGTTCGGGTGTATCGTCAAATGAAGGAGGACAATGCCTTGATCTTGCATTCCCAAAATATCCCCGATCTCTGTAGCTCCTGTGGTAAGATTCTCTCCACCTTCCTTCCTGCCTAGCCCAGTTCCTCATAAATTCGTCAAAATCATCGTCGAAGAAATCGCCACCACCTCTTGGACCACTTGAAGATCCCTGACTCTTTCCAGCCTGCCCAGTGCGTTTTCTTCCTGCTTTTAGGCGAGCAATTTCATTTTGCAAATGCTTGAAGACTTCAGTAGCAAGGTGTTTTCTTTCTTGAGGATGTTTGTCTGGGTGCCATCTCAAGTACATTCGTCTGACTGCTTTCTTTCGTTCCTCTTCATCAAGTTCCCATATTTCTTCCAATTGAACAGTAACCTGTTCTTTGGCTTCTTCAATGTTTTCGGGATAAGGCTGTGGTCTAGGTGGCGCCTCTGTTCGAGGAGGAACTTCTCTTGTAGGCGGAGTCTCTGGTGTATCTGGGCCCTCTGGTCCTTGTCCATCAGCTGAATGACAATACACCATTATTTCCATACCAGTATCTACAGACTCTTCCGGCATCAAGAATTTGAATAGGTCCAATCCACTAACCCACACAGGATCTTCCTCTCCTATGTCGATGAGGTATTTGTTGCGGAGAGGAGAAAGGAGATTTTCAGGAACATCTAGTACTTGAGCGTAGACATGGATGGGGATAACGTGTATTTCAATGTCAGTGTTGATCTGGTACGCCACGTATTCCCCTTTGAAGAAACCAAGGTAGGGATCTTGCTCCAGCAGATGCAAGATATCACTTGGAATTCTGGAACCTAGCTTTGGTGGAGCCATTCCTTCATCATGCGCGGCAGCTCGTCCGTCTGTTTTCATCAGCTTGTAACTACGCAGGAGTTTGAGAATCTCACGTGAGGAATCCGCCGACAACATGTCCACTAGGAAAGGAAGATGCTCCTGACCAATGCCACCTATGTGTCGTAATATGGCTTGGGCAACACCCTTTACGACTTCCATGTATGCTGAACGCTCATTGTCCCCGGTATGCACAACTCTTATACATGCCTCTTCTGCATCATCGTCGTCATAACTCATGCAGGAAGGGGATTTTGCTTCACTACCTTCAATCCTCTCACCATCAATGAACAAGGAGGTGGGTAACTCAGCCATGCACTGTAGCCTTAGGTTCTTAAGCTTATCAATACGTTGGCGATCAGCATTGACGTCAGTATCACTCCCTACTTCAAGCAAACGCTGTATTGCTTCATCAAATTCCTTTGAAGTTATAAGACCATTTAGTCTGGTATCGAATTTACACTGACCAACCTGCTGATACAGACACGGCCTTGCTGATGAGTCGACTCTCTCGGTCACACAAGCCTTGACAGATCTTGGCTTGAGATGTTTTGGCATGGAGTCCACCAATGCATTGACATTTGTGAGATGCTTTGTAACTTCATCTGGCAGAAACGGTACATTGGATTCTACAAGGCGTTTGGTATGATCAGTTTCATCTTTGATGAAGATATCTGTCGAGGGCAACAGTTTCCCCTTTGATGAACCAGGAAGATGCACAACCTGAATACCTTCCAAATCAGCTTGCAAGGACGCTTTATTTAGTTTGGCTGATGTCAAGGACTCAATTTGCTGAAGGAACAACTGAGATGCAGCTGTAATGGCCTTGAGCATGTTGGGATTCTTCATTTCTTTCACACTGTGACTTGCAAGTCCATTTAGTACTGTGGCTAACTGAAGAAATGATGGAGTCGGAGTGGATCCTAGACTGTACAGCAACTTGCTGAAAGGGATCAAACCGTCAGGCAGCTGGTAAAGATGAGGTTGGAAGAGATCCCCGCATAACTGTCGGCATACTAGGGTAGGTCTGACCAGAGGAGGAACACTTTGAATGACCACGCAAGGTACGTCTGAAAGCTTTTCGCTTATCAATTGACAACATCTGCATCTATCCGTGCGATCACTGCAACGCTGAACCTTATGACTTTCACAGGCTGAATCCAAGAATATGTAGGTCGCGCCCATGACTTTGGCCAATACCTGAAATTCAGTTTGGTTCCCTTGATCATGAACCCTGCAACACATCTTGCTCGTATTCTCAATGACGCTTTCAGTGGTTGGTTTTTTCACCACACCAAGCTTTACAAGGATGGTATCCTTCGTATGGAGGGAGCAGCGGGTCAACCTGGAAAAGTATTCCGGTAGGAGCCTCATTGAACACCACACAAGATGAGCATTCACATGCAAACTTGATGAGTCGAATCTTATTCCCATATTCACGTCCATATGATAGGGATGTAGTTTCTTTAGACTGATTTCTGGGGCATCGGGGATGATGAAGTCAATGGACTTGACACTGTTAAGAAATGAGTCATTCTTGTGAAGGGTGCAGTTCCGAAACAGCTCTTTCACGAGTGTTTTTGATTGCTCAGCTAGCTTTTTTCTTTCTTTTCTTTCCTTCGTCAGATTTGTCGACAGTTCTTTTGCGTATTCAAGAAACGTTTCTGCTGTAACTTCTGCTTGAACACCAAATTTATGCAAGAAGGAAGGTAGAAATTTCTTGATGATTTTTTCCGAGGGAAATTTACTCTCTGCGAGCAATTTTGCAAACACTTTGTTTCCTCGGTCGAAGAATTCTCTGCCAAATCTCAATACACCGTCATTGCCTTCCAGTAAAGGAAAGTCTCCGACTTTCATACACTTCTCCACCCCTCCTTCTATTTGGCATCTGTGTCTCGAGAGGGTTTCAAGATGTTTGAGCCGTACCTCTGAGGACAACAAGTGAAATTTGGGAAAGATGAACTTGGACATGGTGTCGCACTCAGATACGAAAACACACCCAATTGCCTTGAAAAGCTCTTTCAAGCCGACATTTTCACGTAGGAAAATATAGTCGTATTCAGCCATCCACTTTGTCATCTCTTCGATAGGTAGATCTGCTCTTACCACATAGACAGTGGACGTGTGTGAAAGTGAAACGTATGTCCCGTCTATCTGTTCATAGCAAGGGAGATTCATAATAATCCTTCTGTTGTCGACATTTTCCACCAGTCTCTCTGGCATATGGGTTGTCAAGTATTGCAGGATATGGTCACGCTGGGCGGTTGTCAACCTATCGAACAAGCCGGCGTCTGTTTGAATGACGTGATCGAACACTGCAAGCACTGCATCAGGTCGATCCTCGTGGGCGACAATCTTAGTGATAAGTTGTTCTGCTTCCTCAAAGTCTAGACTCCGATCAACTTCAGAAACCCCGAGTGAACTCAAAGCCCCAAGTATATGAGACATACCACTTAGCTTATACATCACACAAGTAGATTTTGACAATGGTACCAGGTGATGGGTCATACCCACATCTCCATTCTTGCGGCATGGAAGAATGCTCCACTCCGAAAGACATGATAACTCATCATCAGAATTTCCGCATGCAGCAAGACATTCCCATAGTCCGGTGATCCACTCCTCTGTCGGTTCAGACTTGTCCCACTGAACATATTGGTCGCATTCGAATTTGATAGGACATAGTTCCTCCCTCATCAAAGAAGCAACACATGGAATGTCAAAATGGCAGATCACATCAAAATCCTCATTGAAGTACTTCCTTATCGATGTTTCCAGGAATTTGCTTCTACTGGATGGAAAGAGGTAGTCAAACTCGGTAATGTATACCGGAGTTTCAGTTGAGAACGTTCTTAGAATTCCATCTGATGTTGCTAGAAGAGGAAGAGCCTCAACATTGTCTTTGAAGATATCACATTGTGAGCAGTAGTTCAAAATGACTCCCAAAGTGGCTGTATCCTGTATGACCGTGTCAGAAAGTTGCTTCGGCAGTTCCATTGGAGCCAATCCTACATCTTCTACTGCATTGCTTGAGAGATGACTGATCAAGCGAGCAGGGGTGATTTCAAGAATATCCCCCTTTCTGCAATCCTGCAAGCTGTCTGAAAATATTGTTTGCACATTCTGAGAGCATTCAATCAGAGGAAATCCAAGATCTGACACAACCGACCTAAGGCTCCGATCCGTTCCGATTGGAGAGTCGAAGAAGCCTTGCATTTGTGATTCTGCAAGTGGTGTCCTCCATTCTAGAGTTCTTATGTTGTTGACCCCATTGGTGTCATCACCATCTCTGTTGTACGATACACTTCGCCTAATCGAAGGGAACATTGGCTTGGCGGAGTCGGCAATGGTTCTGTAGATGTCTTCTATGAGTTCTTTCCAGAAAGTGTTCTCTGCTGTAACAGGAAGAAACGCCGTATATGACCATACAATGTCATGTAATTCAGATTCGTCCTTTGATTTGTCGATGCGAGTCATGATTTTAGCCTGAAGACAACAAAGCGCCTTAACATATGCAGGTGAAACGATCTGCTTCATTATTTGACGATTCCACTGTGCCCGGGCGTCTCCTTTATCTCTCCAAATGTCCCGCCTTCGTTCATCTAACTCAATAGAGCCATTGACATGGACAGGGAGACCAGTGTCTATAGGAAGGGGAAGGAAACTGTATGCCTTTGATGAAATTAGTCGTTTACCCAAAGGTAGCGCGACTCCGCCCTGTGGCAAGACATGCAGATCTCCTCTATTATATGCATCTAACACAGTATCAGGGACTTCGTTTGGTTTGGCAAAACCATGCTGCTGATAAATAAGCCAGTCGTCTGATTGCGTCTTCACGCCCCTCGCTTGTCGTTCTGTTACAGTGACTCTCATATCGTAATGTACTTCTGTTACTGGAATGTCTTCAAGGAACTTTGAGAATCCAGTCACTGGATCAGTTTCTTCAGCCGATATTGAAGAAAGAAATGCATCTAAATCTAGTTGGTTGGATTCTGAGATGCTTGCCTGGACGCTTGAGGTATCCTTCATGTTTCCCTGTTCATCAATGGTGGATATGCTGACCTTTTTAACGTGGTTCAAGAAAAGGAGCAGGTCAGGTAGACCTTCCTTGAATTTCCGCAGCAGTCCCTTTACGCTTTTAACATCATGTGCCTCCGAAGATATGTGAGATACCTTTGCCATGGATTTTGTGCGTAAGGGCAATCGGAACATAGTTGAACCCTGTCCTTCGAAGAATTCAGGCAGATAGCAGTTGAAAACGTTCGGGAAATCGTCCTCAAATTTGCCAGTTGGTTTGGCCATGAAGCCTGGACACGCTAAAGTAGCGTTAGGTACATACTTGACATTTGGATCTAACATTCCCAGCGTATCGCCGTTTGTGTAGAAGCTTGGGCAGTCGGTTAAGTGATAAACCGCGTTGAAGCCTACACCAAATCTTCCAACCTTTGAGGACAAGTTCCTTTTGCTACCCACTCCAAGTCGTTGGATACCCTCTATGTCAGCATCAGTAAATGATTTGTTGTTGTATACACAGAGAGCAGGCCCTTGCAAATGAGACATTTCATCTTTAAAGAGGCGGTCTTTTGGATGGGTACGGACATCAAGAACTAAGTGCACTTCCGTGGCACAGGAATCATCCGCATTCTGCACAAGTTCTTTTAGTATTGTATCATCGCAGGGGTAGCCCTTGAGTATGTTTTTTATTCTCTCTGTCAGGGGTTCACGCTGTCCGAAAGGCAATAGATTCTGTGCTTCGAGTGTGTGTAGGCCAGGGACAGGTACGGAGTAGCTTTCGAGGATGTGTTGTCGAATATCCCGCACACCAAGTATCTTCGCCCAAGTAAGAGGGATATCACCGTGAGCTGTTATGACATCATCTGGAACTGAAATCCAGTCCACGTCGCAGAAAGAGAGCTCATTAGCGGTTCTCAGGTAGCTGTTGCTATCGGGAACATAGATATCGGTAGGAGGCACATCGTGCATTACCGACGGATTTGCCGATGCAGCATTGATCAGACATTTCAGGAGTTTCATAACTTCTTCAAACCCACTTTGTTCCAGCTTTCCAGAAGTTGAGTCATGGATGCACTTCAGAGTTGACAAGAAGTCGTCTGTTGAAAATCGTTTTTTCATGTGGATGGTTGATAGAAGAGCATCAAAGCCGCGGAGATTGTGGGGGACACGAAAGAGGTGAGATCCAACACACTCTTCCTCAAATTCCAATGCCAGCTTATCAGCAGTCCTGAACATTTTGCCAACCAATAGACACTTCTTTGTTGAAGGTGAGTGGAAGAATTCTTGAATCTGGGCTATGCCATCACCTTTCTTCAGTCGCAAGTCAAGGAATCTATAGATATCTTGGCAAACACGTGGAAGGTTTTCAACATTTTCTGGTCTACTGCTGATGGATTGAAGTTGCTGCAATACAACATCCACTGCTGGATCTTGGACAATCCCAAGAAATCTCTTAACCTGATGGGGAATCCACATTTTACTTTCGTCTAGAACCGGGGCAACCTCGCTGACCAGTGACAGTTTTTCGGACACATATATGGTATCACGTGAAGCTTTTCTCACAGAGGAATTCCTGTAGGTGACAGGAATGAAGGCTATGTTGTTCAGTTGATTCCGAAGGCTTTCGTCCTTAGCCCATGAAGATTTCTCTTTCTTTAGTCTGTAAGTGAGGTACTCGACTAGTACGCGATCATGCCCACAGTCAGTAAGTTTACCCTGTAATTTCTGTACACATTTGATGAAATCGGTGCCAGATATGTCATCTTGTACCATTCCCAAATGCACCAGAAAATGCAAGCAGTCCCAATTGGCAAAGCTGCCGTAAGGAAACCGTCCATCTTCCTCTGCGAAAAGGATTTTTGCTTTTCCAGTCGGGTGTATCAATTCCGCTGGCCTCTTCAAGTTCTTACCATCTGGTGAAGTTGGAATACATGCGATGGTTCTCAGTGTCTCCCGTAGGTCAACGTTCGACAAACAGTAGTGAGTCAGATGATCTCGTACCTCGGATGGAAAGACAGATATCTGTGGCAGAAAAAATTTCTGAAAGAAGTCATGCCTCGAACACGTATGTCTCTTCATTTGCTCCCCAAGTCCCAGCATTTCTAGAGTAGATCGTATCTCCTTTGGCATCTCGGTAACTATTCGCTTCGTGTGTTGCATCTGAAGGACCTTCTTTACTGATGAAGCAACGTGTGGTGATTCCAGTAGTAGTGGGTCAATAAAGATGGCCTCTTTGAATGACCACGTCCTGTCTCCTTCCCAGAATATCTTTGCATCATGTGAATCAGAGGCTACCAATATGTTGTAGAATCCCTTTAGCATAGCATAGCCATCACTGCCTTGGATAATGTTAGATCCATTAGGCCACAACCTGTAGAAGTTATCTGAGGAACTATTTACTCCAGAAATCCGTACTTCGCTCGGCATTTGTGCTACCTGACACTGAAATTCCTTATTTGCCAGCAGAGTCACGTAGGCCTTTGATATGATATCTTCGAAAACAGCATCATTCCATCTCGTAAAGTAGTTTGAATCTGAGTCGCTCGAGGGTTTCCAGAGATGTCGACGGTCTGCGGAAATGGCAAAGAAGCCATTACAATGACAAGGTAGGTGACTTTGTGGAACTGAGAGAGGCAACCCATTGTAGAGTTTACCGTCTACTTTCCCAGACAACGGTAACTTTACTGCCACGCCGCCTACAGGATCCAGTCCCGACTTTTGTCCTTGTGAAGTTTGCCACATCTTGTGTGCTGACGTTGTTCCTACGCTTGTAACTGACATCAGCTCGTGTTTTCTCGGCTCCTCTTGAGTCTTCAGATATTTCTTTCCATATGGAGTTATGTTTCGCACTACACATTCCTTTTTGATCAAAGGCGTGATTTGATTCTGTTTTCTGACATCTCCTGTACTCTGCTTGAATTCTGCCATGATATCACGACCGCCCTCAGACTCCTTTTCAATTGCGAATAGTTGACTGGATTCTGATGGATGACTGGCATTAGGTAGTAGCACAAAAGCCTTGACTTCTTGAATATTTTTGGTAAATACCAATAAATCTTCGGAAGAGCGCCACAGATCAGTGAGTAGTGATTTGCACTTATCTTCATCGTAATATTCGTCAGAGATCTCACCTCTCAATGCCGCATGTCTAGAGCGAAGAGGCAACCGGAATAGTGTGCCATCGTAGTCAACATTCCCATTACTTTCTTGCAGACTACAATTGAAAACACCTTCGTATGGTGAAAATTGGTCTTTGTACATGGAAATGGCGTTGTTTTTCCCTTGCAGATTTATCCTGATACCGGGACTTTCTTTGCTTTTAAGCATGGATCCAAGATGAGTTGCATGTGGATCAAACACCTGCAAGTACTCTCTACTCAGGAAGCTGGGTACATCTGTCAGATGGTAAACAGAGTTGAAGCCAAGCCCAAAGCGCCCAATCTTAGACGTGTCAAGTTCTTTCGTTGCACCGCCAAGCTTTGTGATGTTTTGAAAATCCTCGGGTGTAAAAGATGCATCATTGTACACCCACAGAGTTGCCCCTTGACAATCAACCATGCCCTTGTCAAACAAGCTTGAACGTGCTTCAGAATTTTCCCGAAGGTCCAACATGAAGTATACCTTTGTTGCTCCCGCGTCTTCCGCATTTTGGATCATTTCTTTCGGGATTGAACTCTCCAGGTAGCTATCTTTAATGATGTTCTTAAGTCTTGTGGTAAGTGGTTCATACTGACCTGCTTGTTCTATCCAAGTCAAATCTTCGGCAGCAAGAATCTTCCGGCCAAGGGGTAGAATCCCCAAAGCGCGAACAATGCCAATAGGCAGTGTCCCATCAACGATGAAGGTGTTGTCTTCCTTCAGCTTCTCTTGAACTTCATCGGAATCCCCGCGACCCTTTACGTCTTCAAAAACGCAGCACTTAGGGTCAACCAATTCCAGGAAGTTCCTCTCGTTGGTTGGTACAAGAATGTTTTGGGACTCCTGGGAAAGGTCACCTTTGCATATCTCGTCTAAGAGTATCAGTGCCTTTTGCACTACACGTTTGTTTTCTCTGCAGAATTCCATCCGCTTTTCCACAGAACCCAACTTTGGCTCGCTCTTCTGAATCTGTATGATGATCTCATGAATCTGCGTTTTTGATATACATTTCTTGACTCCAAGAGCTAGGAAAAGGTCTTCATACTTGGTACTGAATTCTTGAGGTATTGAAGAAATGTAAGGGTGAAAAGCATTTTCACGGCTTGACAGGATTGCCCGATGAATTTCCACAAATCCTGTTCCAGTCCAAATACATGCAGGTAACCGTGTTGTCAGCTTTAGTATCACTTCATCTTCCTTTCTTGCAGCTGAAAGCAAGCTGTACACACCATGAACCATCTTCTCTAGTTTCCTTGAACTATCAGAGGTTCCGGCTATGCCATGACATCTTGAAACTACAGCCATCTGTTCAAGGGTATTTTTGATGTTGGGATGTTCTTTAACTCCTAAACTACGCAGGAGGGTGTGTGGAACGGTTTTCTTGGGAAAGGGTATGGTTGCACCAGAAGCTAGTATGTTAACCTTGGTAGGGTTCACAGTTTCGGTTGGACTGATCATTTGTCTCTCTGACCTGTGCCATGGAATGCCTTGAGGGTAGAATTCCGGGCTCTTCATAAGACATGGGATGCATCTTTTGTCTGCCAAGAACTGCTGTAAGGTTTGATCACTTTCTCCGGTCAAAGGTTCCTTTAGCTTGTTTGGATATTCTCCCAAGAATGACATTAAGACATCTGCTTTCTTGATGTTGTTCTCGCTGGTTATTTCTTCAACTAACCTGGCTAATTCAATTGCTGTGACATCACTTTGGTGACGCAAACCAAGCTCTCGTAATGATCCCAAGAGCCCTTCATCTGCATATCTCGCAGATGGAAAGGAACCTTTGCTGAAGAGCGCAGGCATGTACCGGTCTTCTGGGTCAAAGAGACTGTCGGGGGACTTGAGCTCACCTGCACCGGTAAGGATGAATCCTTGTGTCTTCAGCTTCAACAGATGGTTGCCAATATCTCGTTTGATAGATTTCAAATCACGCAATATCCACATTCCTACATCCTCAAGAACGGTCTTGTCACTGACGTCACAGCAAATAGCATTGACAATGTCTGTTAACAACTCCTTCCTTTGTTTCTCAATCACCTCTAAATCTGAAAAGAGTTTCAGAATGGCGTCGTCATTGCAGCAAATCATATCATACTCCGGAAGGTGATGTTGCGGCAATTGGTCTGTAGAAGTCCGACAAAAAGCAAGACTGACATCACTTGCAGACACAACTCTACCTCGGCCTGATGGAGTTCTTGGAATGGTATCGAAGAGGGGAATTTGACGAAGGAAATTCCTTTCTACATCGGTGAGAGAACAGCTGGTGAAGAATCTTACCAATACCTGTCTCTCCTTCTTGGAAAGACCCTTGATAGTCTTCTGTAGCGCTTTTGGATTTGGTACTGCTGCCAGTGCTCCAATTACACCCTTCTTCGATGGACTTCTGAGGTAACTGCCACCGATGAGCAGAGCAGTGTCTATGAATGTAGGACAAGAACAGATGACAAGGCCAATCTTGGTAAGAACCACCTCTTCTTGACGATCAAACTTGTCTGAGCCATAACTCTGACTGATGCATGTTGAATTCCGTTTAAGGAAAGCAAGGACTACTTCACCAGATTGCCGCTCTTCAACCTGTATTAGAGGAAGGTCTATGTATTTCTCAATTGAGTTACGCTGACATGCATTCAGTAGCTTCCAAATACCTTTTAGCCATTCTCGTGGAGGCTGGTTGTCTTTGCCAGGATGCCAGAGTACAGTACGTCCGTGGTCCGTCGCGAACCATTCTTTAGGAAGAGTCTCCCGAATTAACCGTGCTAGATTTTTATCCGACATCTTTTGCAACTGGACAGATCCATGTCCAGCTTTAAAGAAAAAGAAAGTAGTGGAAAAGATAAAGAAACATAGTTGTGAGAAAAACTACAAACTAAGATTATGAAAAGCGAATAATAGGCATTCAGATGAATGTTTGTAAGACTGCTAGTCGACTTTATAGGTCCATATCATTTCACAAGAAAAAAGCCTATTGAACAAATGCTGTCTTATTAAAAAAAAAATGCTTCTGTCTGTCAAAGGAAAATCTACATTGCCTCGTATTTGTAAACAAATGCATAATTACACATATGCTAATGGACTGCTGAATGAGTTTCACGCACGACTATTCCGAGACATAACTCATGAAATATGAAAATAAAGTCATATAAGCACAAATTTCTCACCAGCTTTTTCCAGGAGTTTAAGCAAGTCCGCGTTGAGGTTTGGCAGGATGAGACTGTTACCCATATTGTAGCACATGCTCTGGTCAAGTTCCCTGGTGGGTATGTAGACAGTCCGCGTTGAGGCAGATCTTGTGGCGAATGGCACAAAGTCGCCGTTGGCTAAAGGCAGAAGCCTTAAACCAATCAGTCGAGGGGTCTTCGTCCTGGTCATGATGTACTCTAGTAACACCAGTTTGTCATCGCTGCTCAGGGTCTCCAGGACTCCGTGTTGGCTCTTGTGAATGCAATCAATGATGACTTCAGGTGAGATCACTTTGGCGTTGAAGTTGATGTAGTCTTTGCTTTGGATGATTTTCTTGATGTGTTGAGGTACTTCAGCTACAGGGACATTAGCCGCTTTGAGGACAGTCAAGATGATCCGTTCTGTGTTCTCGTCTACATCAGTCAAGAAGTTGAAGACAGCATCCTGGATCTTCACCCACGAACCCATCTCATTGCCCTTCTTTGTGTAGATGACTGTATATTTGCTCAGCAAATGGTATATTGGTTTAAGAAGCAGTTTCCACTGTGGTCTGACCTGACCTGGGTCTGGCCAAGCTCTGTAGATTTCATCGGGAGGCAGCTTCTGCTCATTGATGGCAAAATTCAGCATGCTCATGTATGAATCTGGTAGGAGTTTTGTCACCAGTAAGAAGTTCCATTTTGCATCGATATCCCCTTGCACCCGATCAGCACCAGGCCACTTGATTGATCTTCTGTCGCTGTTAACACCGAAGAAACCGTGGATATGAACTGGAAGTCCTGTCAAGCTCTCATCACCGGGAGGCAAAGGGAGGAAACAAAACACTCGACCGCTGAAATCATTTCGTCTTTTACGCGGCATTTTGTAAGGCATGGCAACACCGACCCAAGGTATGTATCCGTGTTTGTCAGCCACACTCAATACATCGTCGTTCATCTCACTGCCTCCCACAATCTGACTCACGATCCAATCCATACGACGTTTGGACTCTGCGATCTGCAAAGTCAACGTGAGCTGATGAGTCAAACAGGCTCGAGTTCTTTCTCCGATTCTCATCTTACTGTTTTCTTCTAATGCATGGGAGAAGCTCTCTCGTTCTGACTTCATCAACGCAAGAGATTTGGGGCATATCTCTACTCTGGATCTGATCTGAGTTTGAGCCTGATCTATCCTCCTGCTGATGTCGATTGTCTCCAGTGATCGAAGAAAAAGCAGTACGACGTCAGCATCGTCGACGAAGGATTCCAGGAGCCGTGCCATAGCGGCGTCATCGTACTCATTTTCACAGAGTTCGCTGCCCTGTTGCCGTATAGGGAATCGAAACACAGTTCCATCAAAGGGTTGCCCATCACCGATGGCGTAAGTCGTTTCAGGGAACAGGTTGTTGTACGGGGTAAATTGATCCACGAATTCTGGTGAATTTAAGATGTCGGCATCCTCGATCACTTGCAGTTGGGTTCCTGTTTCTCCACGTCCGAAATGACGCTCATGTGGATCAATGAAAGCAAGCGTTTCTCCGCTGAGGATGCTTGGCAAATCTAGGGGAAAGGAAAGAACATTGATGTAAGAAATAAGGACATTGTTACGGATTGTGAATTAATCTTGAGTCTGGAACGACTGCTAAAGTGCATTTTCTAGCTAAACAACATATTAGGCCTTTTGTGGTCAGAATTGTTAAGATTGTAGAGTTTGTGTGGTTGGTTAGAGGATTTAAGTGTGACAGCGTTGAGCTTCCATGTAAAGGACACTACGAATCATCGGCAGGAATACGTGGTAGGTGGTACTTAATTCTTATATATCATTGACACTGAATATTCAATGTGATAAGAACGCGGTTGGTATGGATAGAGATTAGATCATGATACTGTCGATCACTATAATTTTGTAATGGTAAAGATTACATATTTATTAAACGCCTTCTACATTTCGTAGGTTTTATTTGGAAGAAGCTGAATGCATGTTGATTACATATCTATGATAGAACGAAAGAAGAATTCGTTAAAAATCTATTGCTAGTTTTTCTTTTGCTGAGTAAATTGTACTGTCATCATAGAACCGTCACCATTCAACAATATGGACTTAATTTACAGCCGTTTTTATCTTTTCTTGTTTCACAATTGTCTTCTTGTAAAACTTGGAAATGCCGAATCATGTCGTTTGTCTAAATGGTAATTGGTAATTGGCTTCAGGACCATCTCACGTTCACTCTCATTATGCATTCAATATGTGATTGACATATTCTATTGTGTCAAAAGGTTTAATAATGTCACATCCACATTCCCGAAGGTGTATATTTGGCAACATGAAACAGAAACAAACCAAATCGAATCAAATATAATTTCGGTTCGCCGTTACGCTTCTAACAAATTGCGACTCCTGCTATGATGTTACCACTTTTCTGACATAAATTTTCAATATATTTTGATATTCTAAAGTGGATGTCAATTCCTTTTCAAATGTGATGTGACTCCAGATGAACATCGCAAGATCGTTGGTTATCAAAAACCATTTTGAATGGTGAAAAACTGTTTTCATTCGAAGGTGAGAATGTCGACTGGATAATAGACTCGGGTAATAATTGCCCCTCCCCTCCTAAAAAAAGACAATGAATATCCTACCGGTGAGATGGTAGACGGAGCTGAATCCGATGCCGAATCGTCCAACTTTCAGTGGGTTATCTTCCTTGTTGCTTCGGGCTGGTGACTGGATCCCAGCCCAGTCTCGCTCCTTGAAGAGGGCGTCGTTATAAGCGTACAGAGCTCTGCCTTGATAAGGGGCGAGAGATGGCCAATGGAGGCAACTTGTTCCGTGTTCGCGGCAGTCGTACAAAAATCGAACCGTCTTGGCACCAGCGTCCTCGGCATTCTGGACAATTTCCTATTTTTAAAGAATATATCATTATTGAAAACAATTATGATAGTGATTAAAATTAAATTTATATTAAATATGATTTCATATAAATCGTCATACAATTCTGTCATTTGTTGTATGAATGTTTTGTTAAAGGTCTATAGCTGATGTCATTAATTTAACAATATTGATGACTGTGTGCTTTCTGCTCTAGGAAGATTGGGTAATAATCTCTGAAAGAAAACATATTTGGTAAGAATAGTAAATTGAAACCTAGATAACATGTTGCTATCATAGTTCTAAAAAAATACCATTAATACCGTATATTGTACAAGTATAATCATTAAAGTAAATTAATTGGATAGTAATGGATGTAACTTCTTAATCAAGAACATGGAAAAGTGTCAGCCAATGATTACGCTGAGGGACATGCCATGTCCCTGGCCACATTCGACTAACGGTTTGATAAGCACCTTGGTGTAACTGATCTGAAACAATTAAAATTACGAAAAGAGTTTTAATCATGAAGAGGATAATTGAGAGACGATCCTAACAACATATTCAATATAACATTATATGATTAAGCGCAATGTTATTTTGGTTGTTTATAATTGTAACTGTATCGGTTTAATACTAAAATATAAATGACCAAAGGTAGGACGGAAGTTAGAATATACGTAATTGTTTTGGATGCTTACCTTCATTATTTGTCCATCTGTGTATTCTCTAAGGACTTTCTTCAAGAAGTCCAGGAGAGACGGTGGAGTTGGGCCGAAGCGGCGTTCTAAAAACATGATAGAATGTTGGTTTAATAGTAAAAACAATAATAATCATAATAATGATAATAATAATAATAGCTAAATATTTATATTGCGCTTGCACGTATCCATCCCAGGGGATGCTCAAGGCGCCTACAAAGTAGTATCATTACTAAGGTGCTAAATTATCAAAGGAATACATTCCTACCAGGTACTCATTTACTACACCTGGGTGGAGAGTGGAATAGGACATTAGTGCCGTATCCACTATACTACAAACGGCTAAAGGGGAAATCTCATGGACCTGCAGGTCTGCCATTAAATGCTCTTTTAACCAAGCTCAGTATTGTGGTTCCCAAATTATTCACCACATCATCATTTTGTTTTCATTATCAGTGTCTTATTTGGTATGTTTCTTTTTGAGCTTGCTAAAGAGTGGTCACCAAAGTGGTCACCAAATTATTTTGAAAACAGAAGTAACGAGAACAACAACGGCATCAGCACCAGTCAACAATGATACTAACAGCAGCAGCAATAACAGTAGTAGCACCACCACTAACAGTAACCACAACAGTAGCAGCAAAAATCGACAGGAAAAATTTATCACTTAGCAAGTGGAGATTCAACCCTTTCTCAGATCGGGGGGGGGGGGGGTGTGAGTAAGCTGAGATATGGTAATGGTAATAGTTTTATTGAAAATTGATTCAGACAGATGGCTGAATTGCAAAATTGTGTACATTGCTTAAAAATCATAAATTATCATACAGACATAAAGAAACTTCAGTTTTAAGATATTTATAACACACAATGATTGAAATTTCAAAATAAATCAGTTATAAACCTACATATACATTAATAAAGTTCGCTAAACAAATAAGAATTGTTTAAATCTATTCCACAATCATACATGAAAAGATCGTTCGAAATAAGAGAGAAGAGAGAACAAAATTAAAGGGCTGGAGGAAAGTAAAGAAGTGAGGTATGGAGGGAAAATACATACAGCTCAGGAGATCCACGAAATATATGCGAGAGAGAGAATGATAGAGGGAGACGAAGGAGTGAGGGAGAGAGAAACAGAGATAAATGGAGAGAGAGAGAGAGAGAGAGAGATATTAGACAATGCTGAGGATGAGAGTGCATAACGGACATATTGAAAATAAGGTACGAAGTACAACTTTGACATATGAGAGAATGGTAGTTGTAGATCCATAAATTGCAATGAAAAAAAAAAAATCATTAATGATTTATGGATAACAAAGTTGTAAATCGCTGGGAACTATATGCAATCAAATGAAGGGAAAAAAATGAAATATTGTAATTTCAAAGTTCTCTTGGTAATAATCATGTGATAAGTATGTTTTCAATCAATACAAAAGTTACCATAAACATAAAGTTATATACTGTTTCATATAAAATAAGATTACCCTACAGGTCCTCTACATCGTCAATATGAGGATAAGTTTACATGTGGCAGATATCAAATGACTTGAATTTCGCATTTTTTTAGGAAGGGGAGGGGATGACCCTCTGTAAAGGATCCCATATTCTGCATATACATATATTGGCATAATAGCATATTTTTTTTTCCAAGTCGACATGTTAATCATATCAGATTAATTTTGTTTAAATAATTGCTATAACTCAATAGAGACCGGTAAGAGAAAGATACCGGTAAACCTTATGATTATTTTCTTCTATCGTCTCATCTTCGCAAAAAGAAAGAGACTAACAAACACAGTTGCTGTTACTTAAAGTACCCCCCTCCCCCATTGCTGCAAATGTCTTTAGTAGTAAATACGTGATAGATTCTGCTTACAGAATTATGAAGCTAGGCTAAATTTAGTGACTCCAAAAATAAATTTTGATAGAAATTTAAAAGTGAAATCTTACATGAACTCTATGCATGTCTTAATTTTGTAAAGGGTGCGTGTCAAGACAGCTTAAAAGATATGCAGATAAAAGCGACAACATAGTTATTGTAATAACTCCCTCATAATATTTACATCAAACACAAACATTACTCCTATTATATCGCATGTACCTCAACACTATGTCGCGTTCAGTGAGCCTCGCTAAACCGAAACCTTTTCATGCAAGCAAGCCTGATGTTTAATAGACGAGAGTCGATCACGTCGAAAGGTGGGCGGGGTCAACGTTTCACTTTTATTGACAAACTCCAGTCAGGAGTGACGATGCGTCACCTATTGTATTGACTGGCCCCTCTCGCCTAGTGCTGTGTACATTGTGTTTTACAGGGCTGTAGCAATAGTAGTAGTCGTGCCGAGCTGTTGAGATTTAAATTATTATTGTTGACCCCTTTTGTACCAAGGAGATTTTTTGTACAACAGGAATGATATGCTTTCTACAGACGGGAAGTCGGCAACGCATGATCATCAGTGTAGAGTTGGCAGTGTATTGATGATATATTCGTCAATGAATTACTGCATTTAGCGATATTTTACACGGTCATCATGTGAGCGTGTTATTCGGTTAAGCGCTTGGGTACAACATTATTGTGTAGGAGTGGGTTACCTCACGACCAGAATTTTACCCTCGGTTGTACGTATTCTGGTGGTTTATTTACTTGGCAAGCTAATTATATCCAAGGGCTTCTTTAGAAAGAAATGATATTGACTCCTTAGAAAGAGTATCTCCGGCCTCATGATAATTTAAAAGACCTCCGTTTGAAGACAGTTGCTATGAACGCTCATGAACACTGAAGGAACAGACTTTATGTGCTGTCAATCCTTCATGCTAGTGACAGACGATTGCTGGAGCTAAAATCAACGGACCTGTGTACACAGCTCTGTAATAATACTATTATGAACTCCCCGCCATGCAACGGATGTATATTTGACTGGGAAGCATGTCAGACCGATTGGAATCATCATCCATAAGCTTATTATAATTCATATTATCTTGGACGCCACCTATTGAAGTATGGCATCATCCAATGGCACAGGAAAGAGAGGTATGTATTTTAATTTGATTAAAATTGGCATGTTGGGCAAACGTAGAAATGTTAGTGTGGGCTCTAGCACAAAGTTTGGCAAGAGTTCCAGATGTACACCCCCTAAATAATATTACACTTTGTTCCTATCTCTCATATTGTCTAACCCTATAAATCCTAACCCTAACCTTAACCCTAGTATCCCATGTTTTTATATATTATATTATTATTAGGTATATCACTCTGAAACATATCGATATATTTTTCTTCAATTTTAGTGGGAGGTAAATAATTTATGGAACTCTTGCCCAAAGGTTCTCTATACAGCATTACATTGGTGGAAAATAGTATAGCAAATTATGACTGATGGTTTTCACCATTTCCAATGAGTTTTTTAAATGTACTTGTAATTCTGTGAGAGTTATATTCATAGTTATCATAAAACATATAAACATATCATACCATATGATAACGTGTGGGGCGACCAATGGCCTAAGATATTACAATACTTCTCCTGTACTATATATCATTACGACATTACCTACGGTATTCCTTCCCCAACTACTGCCACGAGCATTGGTTATCACAGTTATGTAATCATTAATCTTTTTTTCAACGGGGGGGGGGGGGGGGGGGGCTGGGACTGGGTGATGGGTGATGATGACCCATGCCCCATGACCTCTCAAATATAAAGAGATAAAGAATGCTATGACCATGATCATACTTTCTATGACAAACTGCAGTACCCTGGTAGCTGCTGATCTCCGATAGAGCGGAGGAAGAAGAAGAAGAAGAAAATGTGATATCACTCACCCCAATTGAGACTTGTGTACGGGGGGGGGGGGGGGGGCAAAACAAAAGCATGTATGAGTTCGGGTATCATATTTTCTGGTGGACCCTACTACAATGGTTATTAGGCCTTTTAAAAAGGATGTTATATTACCCTTTGCGACCGATACAAAAATCTAGAAATCTACGGTCGGCTTTTTAATTATTTTTCCCCCCTTTTTTAGAGAAAAAAATGAAAAATATCAGCCCAAAGAGGGAGCAAAAAAGAAGAAAAAAGAAGGGGAAAAAGAAGAAAAGATTTCCGACCGACAGACCCATGCTTAGGCATTTACACTGGCAATACAACATCTTTTTTGTTAGGCCTTATACTGCGCATGATAGCATACATTAACTAATTAAAACGTAACCTTGACACGACTGTTCTGATAGCTTAGCTGGTCTTAGTCACCCTGTATTTATAACACGTATGCGGTTGTTGCGTTATGTTTGCATCCGCTTTGCAGCAGAAATTGTGTTTTTGTTTTTACTCATCCTCTTAAACATACTCTGCCTCATGCATGCCAGACGTTCAGACGGGATAATCCAGTACTTTCAATCAGATATTACATTGATATAATACGACATGCTTCAGTTGCTTGCATTGTTATTGTGCAAACAAACCACTTTGATCTAGCTCAATAATATGGCCTTGCTGATGTGCCAAGTTATATTGTATTAAAAATGCTGGAATTTACTGTGTGCAGCCAACCAACGAAATTGATATTCGTAGATATATATAGACAAGGCAGGGAATACCAAGCATTTTGCTCTCTATCTACGGTCTGTGACAGTGGAGCGTGGTATATGCAATTGCATTGATTAAGACACACATTTTGAAGCTGCTTGGTGCCACTGTATTTTAACTAGCTTGTTGGATTTTAGTATAAAAATGTAAGTATTATAGCCTATTCATGTTGTACTGTCTTTAAACAACAAACAAGCGGGAGAGAACCCAAAACACCTTTCGTTGGCTGCTGCGCATGAAATTGCAGTAATGGTGTCAGTATAGTAGTAGTAACAATAAGTCGTAGGGTATGGTTCCTATGTATCTTAACTTTGATTTTAAAAAGGTCAGTTGGTGTTGGGTTCTGATTCACTTGACCCCGAGAAGTGATGATGTAATTTGTATTGCAACCAGAGCCAGTACTAGCTAAGCCTACATGGTTAAAGTAATCGTATTTCGTCATTGGTACTTGATACTATTAATGTCTACTACTACTACTATTACTACTATACTACTACTACTACTACTACTACTACTACTATCACTTCTACTACTACTACTTCTGCTACTAGTCTACTACTACTATTATTATTGCTATTACTACTCCTACTACTAATATATAATATCGCATTTATCTTCATCCCCTTGAATCAGCACTTACACTGGAAGAAGAATACTAGTAGTACTACTGATACTACTAATGTTACTACTACTAATCCTACTTCAATTACTACTACTACTAATATTTCTACTATTAATTATACTATTACTACTAATATTTATTATTATCATTATTATTATCGTTGGTAGTAGAAGTACAATTATCTTTAGTATTTCTATTTGGAATATTATCATTATATTATTATTATCACCATCGCCATTAATATCATTACCATCATTACCATCATTAATTATGATACCGTTACACTTGTCATCATTATAATCATCAATCCCTACGAAGATTAAATGAATGCGAACTTTATTTGCTTCGTGTTCATGAACACTTGACATTGATTAATATGTACCCGCAAGTTATTGTGCAATTTAACAATTTCGCAATATGGAATTGTGCAACCCATTTACTATAATTTGAACAACATTGTTGCACTTATCATAGCCGAGTTTGGAGAGCACTGCGGAAGACTTTGTTTTTATATTCTCTTTAATAAGGTCTGTCCAGTGAATTTATATTTGTTTTCAATGAAGTGTCCTTCCTTCCTTTCTTCCTCATTCTCTTCCGTTTTCTTAACGCATGACTCATTAAATGGTACCTTTTTTCTAGACATTGTAGAGTCATGGGAGTATTTAATTCCACATTCTTCTGAATTATTATCGAAATATGATAGAAGTTAGATATTAATAATAGAAAAGATAATCATAATGATAATGTCTGGTATTTATTTTTGTATCGCCCATATCCCCCATATAATGCCATTCGCCCCCCTTTTCATAAAAAAACCTCTAAATACGCTATTGTATATCATTTTGGGCTATCAAGATTTTTCCTGATAAAAAGTGGTCATGATTTCCTTTTAAATCGCTTTTTTTTTTTTTTTTTACTATTTACAGTACCACCATCGTATGAAGAGACGATGGAAGAGTTAGCTCGCAGAGAGCGTGGTCAAAACCCCAAGCACGACCCGACATCGCCCGGACAGGGTGTGTACAGGAAAAGAACCGACGACGACGAAGTCGGTCACGATGATGCAGGGACGACCTCGGAATACCAGTCGGCCATTGTGTACACGAAAAGAGCCGACGACGACGAAGTCGGTTACGATGATGAAGGGACGACCTCGGAATACCAGTCGGCCATTGTGTACACGAAAAGAACCGACGACGACGAAGTCGGTTACGATAATGCAGGGACGACCTCGGAATACCAGTCGGCCATTGTGTACACGAAGAGAACCGACGACGATGAAGTCGGTTACGATGATGAAGGGACGACCTCGGAATACCAGTCGGCCATTGTGTACACGAAAAGAACCGACGACGACGAAGTCGGTTACGATGATGCAGGGACGACCTCGGAATACCAGTCGGCCAAACCCGCTACCATCTCACACACCACGGTACAACCCAAGTACCTTCAACCCGAGACCACCCTCTTGCCTCAAAGTCCTACGTCACCATCAACTGAACCTTCGAAAGGCTCCCCGAAGAAAAACCGCTTCAAGAAATCAACCTCCAGATCAACCTCCCGATCAACATCGTCGTCCAAACGTGATCCAAACACTTACGCGTACGAAAATCAACAGAGCGTGGACTACTGGGCGTCTGTAGAGCCTGTTACGATTGATCCTAATATCGAACCGATCCTCATGCGACCGATGGTAACGCGAGTAGGACCAGACGGAAGGACGTACTTACGAGACACCAGTATAGTTGTTGTACAGGTAGGGATTGCCACTTCTATGCTTAACCGATTAACCTTGATCGACATTTCGTGTTGGGTCAAGTGGAGGTCAAGCACAACTCTAGCTACAAATAATATTAGCTGCTCGCATTCTTTGTGTATGTAACATTTCTTGGTAAATGCACTACACATTCACAAACACACACACATATAATTGTTTAAACATATTTGTGGCTTACAGCCAGTAAATAAGATTGAAAAACAAGTCAGAAAAAAAAAGATTTTTTTTCTCTTCAATTACAGATCGATCAATCGATCTTATTTACTGGGTGTAAGCCACAACTATGTTTAGACTATTGAAATAGGAATCATTACATTTATATAATTGTTATAAGAAGAGTTTTTATACAAAATGTGGTAGGAAAATGTAAGTTCATACAATCATTTTTATTCATGATTTGTTTGCGCCCAGGCTTCTATGGAAATAAACTGCTCATTGCTGTCTCTCAATAATCTTCTACATGTGCATTTGAGTGTTGGTTTTAAGGACCACTTTTGAAAATGTTATATTTCCTAAAGGACAAACAAACTGATATGAAACTGTACAGTAATGATAAAAATATCATCCAAACCCTAAATTTGGTGATATATACACGACCCGAATTCACAAACCAGGTTTGAGTACAAACCTAGTTCTGATCAAACCTGGTTTGTCCACAAACCTCCTTTGTGAATAATGTTGACTTTTCAAAATAGGGCAAATATCCCTTTGCTTTGTGGAATTGATTCTTCTCTCTGATATAAATCATTAATTAAATCAATTAATGATTTGATGTCACCGGGAAGATGGTGATATACAAGGAAATGATCGACAGAAACCCATGATAATTGTTGTAGAAAGAATTTTTATACAAGATATGCTACCAAAAATATGTAGGTTCATATAATCATTTATATATGTATTCATAATTTGTTTGCGCCCAGGCTTCTATGGAAATAAACTTTGTGCTTTAATCATAAACTTTACAGTGGGCCCGCCAGCCATGGTCCATGCTCTTTTATTATTTTGTACACATCTTTAATACAACCTTTGATCATATAAAAATGTCAGCTTTCTTTTTCTTTCTCTTTCTCTCTCTTTGAATTATTGAATACAAGCATGACGAGCATGAAACGCGAAACACACAGAAGGTGATCGGGAAACCAACTCGACCCGATAACTACTTGTGGTATTCTTTCGTGGGAATGGCCTTTTGTTTCTTCTTTGGAATTTTCTCTTTGATGCGATCAAGAGAGGTAAGTGAAACCAAAAGCGCTATTTATTTCCTCTTCTAACTGATGGATTGGGAATTAGTGGGAAATCAAGTATTTCATACTGTTGGAACTGGGTAAGAGAGAGGGCCTTATTGATGCTCTTGAATACTCTTGATGGTATTGAGACAATATATTGTTACCTACGTTCCTTTTGAATAAACGATTATTCTGAATATTAAAATCCAGAGGCAACATTAGGTTTCTGATAAAATTAGGTGATGTTTGAAAACAGCGTAAAGAATAAAAAACTAGCCTTCCACGAAATACAATTCTGTATGCAAAATCCTATAATTTCTGAGTTGTAAGTATCCAAATGACAGTTTGGCTACGCAGATAGGCCCTAAAGTTAATACTTATTAACCAACTTTACATTTTTCATGAAATGATAACAGTTCTACATGTACTTGATATGATATCATTCCCTGTGTATTACCAGTCATCTTCATGGTTTGGGTATTTGCCGTTTGATCGAGATCAAAAGTACGTTGTTCCGGTCCTTCTTTAGACGAAACTCGCTTCATGTACATTTGTGAATTTGAGCCTATACTAACATCCTAAAGGATACAAAACATTATGTATGTTGGCACAACCATCAAGTTTTGTTTTCGTTCCAGATTTATGTCATGCCATCGGCACTTAAAATAAAACCATGTTGCTCAGATTAAATTTCAGTATTGCTTCACTTCCTCCAACTTATTCTCTTTTTCCTCTTTACATTATTTTGCTTAGGTTCCCGCCAAATTTGACGCGGGAGATTACGAAGGTGCGCGGAAGGCTTCGTCGTCTGCTCGGAACTGGGCTACTATCGCACTCATCATCGGAGCCGTCATCATCATCGTCTTCATCTTCCTTCTCTTCGTGAGCCCGTGCCCTCTCACAAGAGCACTTCAATTCAAAGGTGTATGTCCAGAGGGTGTGTGAGACAATGAACGTGTATGTATCGCGTATTCGAAGAGAGGTTCCTCGAAGCTTTTCTACCATAACAGAAGAAGATGGATTCTAACAATTTATGATTCGATCTTCTGTTGCTGCTCACTCCAAGGATGCATGAGAGTGAGAAGACGATTAATAATAATGATAATAATTATGCCTTGTTTACCCAGGACAGCTTCATGAGTGTTAATACAATTATTCCTGGGCCCTAGCTGCAATCCTATGAAGAGATGGTTTAATGGATCACGTTCTATGATAAGTATTCTCGTGGATATGAGTGCATGATCACTGCTGAGGGAGTCATTGTAAAGCGCATGAAGCTATATGGCTTTGGCAAACAATGTTTTTCACACTTGTGCACTTCATCGATTCCCGTTAAGTACATTCATTTTACGGAAAGGACATCCCACTAATTGTATCAGAAAATATTTCAGCTGTTACAGGCTAAATTAAATTGGTTTATGACTATTATATCACGAAATGACTGTACAAATTGTACAATTTTAATTCATGGAGTGTCAAAAATAATGCAATTCATGATTTTTTCCCTTTGCACCTTAACGCCTAAGCCATAAAAACTTTAAGATGATAGAAATAGATGTAATCTTTATTAGATTTCATTTGTGGAAGAAAGGCAAGCGAAAGGGGGGAAATATGGTTTCATTCTAGTGTAAGATAATTGTGCATTGGGTAAGAAGGAGAAGAAGCTTCCAACGACGGAAAGATACATGAAATCACCTTCTATTCGTAACCACATAATCACTCTTTGGTTTTATAATAATGATTATAATAATAATAATGATAACAATGATAATGATGTAATAAGGGTTTCGTTTAAAGCAGTTTACCAGTTACAACCTTCCAATTATGTCCTTGAAGATGATATGTCGCTTGCAATATATAAAATAACTTTATTTAAGTTCAGTACGTTGATAATTTTTCTTTCCGGACTGCCGAATATCTGATGTGTAAGAAATGATTATGTAACCCCTGTATCCCATGTTCAATTCTTAATGTCATGCTTTGACAGGGATTTAGGCTTGAAATTATAGAGAAGTTAACAAGTTCATGCTATATTGTCCCTTGCGTTAACTATCACATAACGATTTTTAAAAGTCTCTCATGATTGTTAGCTGACATTCCTAAGATGGTATTACGACTATGGAACATTCATAAGAGTTGCCCATGTGTAAAACCACAGGGGGAGCTGATAGCGAAAACATGACTTTATTAGGACTAGTATTTCTTGAACCCTCCTACACATAATTGTAGTCAATAATTACATGTAGCTTTGTACAGATGTTTGCATTCCCGTAAAGAAATTTCTAACAGAATCCTATATGTGGCAGAGTCACATGGCAATATGTGTTTACGTTATGTCGAACAAAATTGTCGAATTTATTATGAAATTTTGTAGAAACTTTTTCTACATCAAAAAATGTTTAACATAGTATGAATGTTTGCTGATGTACTGTTTCTCACTGTAAAGCCCGCCTGGTGCTAAACCGACCGCCGAAAAGAATTTGGAGGTCAAAGAGAAATGAAAGGTAAAGTAGGATTTTTATTCTGTGACATCAAACGTTTTCTACTTGTTATACGAATTCTAAGTTCACCTGCCATTTTTATGCCTCCGCCACCGAAGGTGGTGCCGGAGGCATCATGTTTTCGGGTTGTCCGTCCGTACGTCCGTACGTCCGTACGTCCGTCTGTACGTCCGTACGTCCGTCCCGTTTGACCGTTATCACAATATCTCAAGAACCATTTAAGATTTAAACTTAAGACTCGGGAATAGTATTTATCACCATAGGAAGACGATCTGATTAGATTTTGGAGTATGTAGGTCAAAGGTCACAGGTCACAGAGGTCAACTTATGAAATTCCTTGTATTGAGTTTGTTAGCGCGATATCTCAAGAACCATTTGAGATTTGAACTTCAAACTTAAGGATAGTATGTATCACCATAGGAAGACGATCTGATTAGATTTTGGAGCACGTATGTCAAAGGTCAAGGGTCACAGAGGTCAACTTATGAAATTCCATACATTGAGATTGTTATCATGATATCTCAAGAACCACTGGAGATTTAAACTTCAAACTTAGTGATAGTGTGTATCACTATAGGAAAACAATCTGATTACATTTTGGAGCACGTAGGTCAAAGGTCAAGGGTCATAGAGGTCAACTTATGAAATTCAATACATTGAGATTGTTATCATGATATCTCAAGAACCACATGAGATGTAAAAACTTCAAACTTAAGGATAGTATGTATCACCATAGCAAGACGATCTGATTATATTTTGGAACACGTAGGTCAAAGGTCAAGGGTCACAGAGGTCAACTTATGAAATTCCATACATTGAGATTGTTATCATAATATCTCAAGAACCACTGGAGATTTAAACTTCAAACTTAATGATATGTGTATCACCATAGGAAGACAATCTGATTAGATTTTGGAGCACGTAGGTCAAAGGTCAAGGGTCACAGAGGTCAACTTATGAAATTTCATACATTGAGATTGTTATCATAATATCTCAAGAACCACTGGAGATTTAAACTTCAAACTTAATGATATGTGTATCACCATAGGAAGACAATCTGATTAGATTTTGGAGCACGTAGGTCAAAGGTCAAGGGTCACAGAGGTCAACTTATGAAATTCCATACATTGAGATTGTTATCATGATATCTCAAGAACCACTGGAGATTTAAACTCCAAACTTGTTTAAATTGCTCTATGGCGGAGGCATCATTTTCGACTGTGCGCAGTCAAAATTCCATCTAGTTCAGAATGCTTTCCTGATATATTTTTTTATTGTATGAATGAAAAAATGTTTACTTGGAATAAAAACCCATATTAACCAGGAAATATCACTGGTAACGTCAGTTGAAGGATAGGACTTAATTGTGATTATATCATTATATCATATCATTCGAACGGGACACTGACCCAAGAAAACCGACAGCCCAACAGACCCGACAGCCCACGAGACCGACAGTCCAAGAGACCACGAAGATAGTAGGTCCTTGCGAGAACCTACTTAACTTTTTAGACAGCGTCCGAGACCGATATTGTCGGTTGTTTATTCGTGGAGCCACTGACACTAGGGCAAATTTGTATTTCCCAAATGATATGCTGCAACAATATGCCACTTTAACCCGCCCAATGGTTAAATGATGCTTACTTTCTAAAGTGCATTATTGCCTTATTTTCTACTCGGATTTATCTAATGACCTGTCGCTATATATATAAAGTTTATTTTCGTGCACACATACGTGATAATGATATTGGAAGTGAGATACGCGAAGAATTTAATGATAATATTAATATGTAGTAGTAATTCGTGATGTGATAAACACTATGCAGTCTGTAAATTCCCTTTGTCATCAAATGAAATATCATGTTCCATACCATTGCAAGTCCGTGCACAACAAAATATATGTATTAAGTGTATGGTTCGTTGTGTGAGCAAACAGTGACAAATATTGCAACCGATTTATATCTATGTATAACTGATTCTCTATTATATATTCATGTAAATATAAATAATATTACTTGTTGACTCTAACATGGATTGCATAAAGGAAATTTCTATTAATATTGAGATCTATCTACATGTATTTTGTAATGTCAATTGTTTATTACAGGAATAAGCAGCTATAAAACAGTTTATTCATTTTGAAGTATTTATTCAGTACTAGAGCGTTTATATATCCTGCGTAATAGGATTTATGATGGGTGTGTGAGGCAGGCGCGGATCCAGGGGGGGGGGGGCCGAGCGGGCCTTGGCCCCCCCCCCCGCAAAAAAAAAAAAAAAAAAAAAAAAGAGAGAAGAAAGGAAAAGAAGGGAAAGAAAGAAGAGGAAGAAGAAAAGAAAAGGGGCTGTTGACCCCCCCCCCAATCAAAAAAATAAGAGAGAAGGAAGGAAAGGGAAAGAAAAAAGGAAAAGAGGAGATACTGGCGTACTGATAGGGGGAGGGGGGGGGGGGGCTTGGGGGAAATCAAATTCAAACGTGGTTTATTTCTAATTCCACAACGGTGGATTACAAATAATGCTGAAATGACATAATTTCCGAGATTTTTCCTCACTTTTTAGTAGATTCCTACACGTCAGGGCCCGAGGTACGGCGGGGATCGGGAGTCCCGAGCCCCTCTACTTTTTTGAAAAAGTATATTAAAGAGAAATAAAATAGAATGAGAGCAAGAAAGAAAGAATAGAAACTGCAAAGAAACTGAAAGAAAGAACTGCCAGTGTTTAAAAATAATGAGGCATCAAAATATGCTCATCTGACCGTGATTAATGCCTAAAACCCCTAAGCTTCCGGGGACTCTGCCCCCTGGATTTCACCTAGGGCCCTACGGCGGGCCCTTAGATGCTCATCTGACGGTAATTTAATGCCTAAAACCCCTGATTTTTTGGGGCTCCGCCCCCTGGACCCCACGCCAAATAGTGACGTGCCAGTCTCACAAAATAATAAGGTATACAAAAAAATGCTCATCTGACCTTAATTAAACGCCTAAAACCCCTGAGCTTCCGGGGCCGGCTCCACCGCCTGACCCCCCCCCCCAGGGGCCCTAAGACGGCCCCTGATTGAGACAAGGATTAAGAGTATAGAGAACGATACAACGCATCGTCTTCTTTTTCTAATAATATAATGAAACGTCAAAGCTTCGCGCAGGAGGGGAGGGGGGGGGGGGACTGAATTCAGACAAGGATTAAGAATCGAGGACGGTACAACGAATCGTCTTCTTTCTCTCATAATCTTATGAAACGTCAAAGCTTCCGCGCTTCGCGCGGGAGGGGGGGGAACCTGAATTCAGACGAGGATTCAGAGGCGAGAACGGTAATACGAATCTTTAATGAAACGTAAAAGCGTCCGCGCTTCGCGCGGGAGGAGGGGGTTGGGGGAGCATCTAAATTCAGACGAGGATTATTTTCGAAAACGGTACAACGAATCGTCTTCTTTCTCTAATGATTTAAGGAAATTTAAAAGCTTCCGCGCTTCGCACGGGAGGGGGGAACCTAAATTCAGACGAGGATTAAGAGTCGAGAACTCGACAACGAATCGTCTCCTTTCTCTAATAATTTAATAAATCGTAAAATTTTCCGCGCTTCGCGCGGGAGGGGGAAAACTAAATTCCGATGAGGATTATTTTCAAGAACGGTACAACGAATCGTCTTCTTTCTCTAATGATTTAAAGAACATTAAAAGCTTCCGCGCTTCGCGCGAGAGGGGGAACCTGAATCCAGACGAGGATTAAGAGTCGAGAACTGTACAGCCAATCGTCTTCTTTCTCTCATAATCTTGTGAAACTTAAAAGCTTCCGCGCTTTGCGCGGGAGGGGGAGGGGGAGACTGAATTTAGACAAGGATTAAAAGTCGAAAACGGTACAACGAATCGTCTTCTTTCTCTAATGATTTAATGAATCGTAAAAGCTTCCGCGCTTCGCACGGGAGGCGCGTTTCCGTTTTACACCCTGCCCTAGGCTTTTCGGCAAGAAATTACACGAAACATGCTGTATCCGAAGTCTAAGTTTGTTTATATCGACGTCAAGAATAGCGAAGCCAAAGCTTATGTACAATTTCAATTGGGGATGCGAGGGTCTTCTTGTTCAAGACGGTTTTCCCGATATATTATTGTTTTGTTATCGCTGGGCTAAATTTTGCGAGCTGATCACGCATCCTCACGCTCTTAGAGTATTGCGTATTAATGGATAAAAATAAATGATACGACTAGGAAGATCAACTAGTTAGTATAGAGAGTTAGCTAGCGCTACGTGACGTTTTCAGAGTTCTGGTGGTGTGCAGAGCGCCGAGGCAAGATGTGGACGACTAGACTCCGAATACCAGTCGGTTTGTAAAATTTTATTGGAGAAAAGCCTAGGGCAGGGTGTAAAACGGAAACGCGCGCACGGGAGGGGGGAACCTAAATTCAGACGAGGATAAAGAGTCGAGAACTCGACAACGAATCGTCTTCTTTCTCTAATAATTTAATAAATCGTAAAATTTTCCGCGCTTCGCGCGGGAGGGGGAAAACTAAATTCAGACGAGAATTATTTTCGAAAACGGTACAACGAATCGTCTTTTTTCTCTAATAATTTAATGAAACGTCAAAGCTTCCGCATTTCGCGGAGGGAGGGGAAAAATCGCCCCTCCCTGCACCGACCCCCCCCCCCGCATTACGTCACTGTTGGTCACCATTACGTACCAATATTTGGCTAGCAAAATTTCAAATTTGGGCCCCCCCCCCCCTAAGAAATCCTGGATCCGCGCCTGGTGTGAGGATGTTGGTCATAGCTAAAAGTGTAGAGATAGTTCTGACACGCGCACTCGTTCACAGGTCAATTTCATGGAGCCTCGAATAGATCCATTGCGTACATGGCTTGCAACGAACACTCACGTTCACGTATCACGTATCACGTATCACGTTTTGCACTGTTTCGTAAAATAGGTGACTCTAATTTACGAAGTGTAGGGTCTACCATTCGTTGTTTTCCACGCCGGTAAAACACGAATGATCACGTCTTCCAAAACGTGACGTGAGTGTTTAATCAATATTTTTATAATTGCAAGCGCTTGTTACTAAGACTGGTCATGACGTCACCGTAATATGTATGATTTGTGTGTACGAGTATACGTATCGCCTGCGCCTAGCTACAGTTGTAGCTGACAACAAAGTCGGAGAATGGGTGAGTAATTGATTGCAATATGAGTAGATTTAGTGAATGTAGTGATTAATTTTGAAAAATTTGTAATAGTTTTCGTGATCTTCGGTAATTTCTTTTCATTTTGAGACTGTTCTCAACAGATATTTGGCGAAAAGGCTAGGGAAATATTTCTCTTCAAATTGCACTTTGATTTTCATCGTCGTGAAGTAGTTTGACTGCGGTTTGCCGTCATGTCACCCTGTTAGGGCCCGGGGTTCCGGCAGGCCCACCCCGTGGAATTGCGGTGCTCATCTGCAAATTTGATCGTCATCATGAATCTAATTCACCAATCATTGATTGAATTTAAATCTAGATTTAACGTACACCTTGAAATAATCTATGAAGTATGATTTCTTTAATAATCCAAGTGGGTTAATTCTTGTTAAAATCTTTAGTAGACCCTTCTTCTAGACGTGGACTCTGTTGAGGTACTCACTACCCCTAGACCCCTAGATATAGATGTAAACCTGGAACTTATTAATAAAAATATTCAAAAAACAACAACTAGGATTTGTTTATTTAATGTTTAGATTTTGTGTGGGTCCAGCATGCTTGTCTAGTTGTCATAACTCATATTCATAAGGAGTCTACATTAAAGATTTGTTTCCAAATTGTGCAGTTCATGTTGATAAATATATTTTTGTTGGACGTTGTATAAGAAATGACCCCTAGTCCACAATTATGTTTCCTTATCTGTAGTCCACCTCTTCTTGTTATGATAAACTAATTCTACTTAGTACTTCTTCGTGCTCATAGGCCATAGAAAGCACTGTGTGAGGTACAAGTTAAATATTCCATTAGTTTTACTTTGTACTGTGGTTCATTAAATAGGAATGTTGATTTCCACACCATGTTAAATTTAAGGCCAACCATGACATAAAAAATAGCTATTATGCTTGATCTATTTTATTGTTAAGGAGAAAGGGATGCCTTGATTATTGTATTGGTGTTTTCCTTCTTTTTGTTCCAACAGATTAAAACTAAAGAGCTGAAAGAAGTTAACAACATGAAGCAGAAAGTCCCATGCAGGTAAAATTACCAGGTTATTTAGCACACAAATATTAAACGATCACCTACATGTATTAATTCACTAAAAAAATAAATGGAACTAAGTTGACGTTGCAATTATAGCGCTTAGAGACTTCGGTGGTGAGCGCTTTATAAGTAACATTTTTATCATTATTATTATTATTAGCGTATATAGTGGAGGGTATATTTTATTCTAGTTCTGCACCTAGCATACAATTTCAATTTCAATTTCAAATTTATTCACATTTCCAACAAAACATTACAAATAATTATAAGCATTTAAAACAAATTTAAGAAATACATGTTGGAAACAGAGGGGTCCACTAAAAAGCAATGCTTGTACAAGTGTGAACACCTCAAATGAAACTTAGGAATAATGAGTAATTAAATTTACTATTCTGTAATGACAAAAAGAACTACAAAATAGGGGAAAGAAAAATGGGGATGCCAACAGAGACGAGAAAGGGACAAGACAATACTTTACACGACAAAGATAGAAGAACATGGACATAATTATACAAAGAGTAGACAATGACAAAAAGAAGTGAGAGATCGAGGGTACAGAAAAAAATACTAAATGATGAGCTGCATGTGGGGTTGAGAAGAAGATAAGGAAAGAGAAATATTGTTGCTTTAATTTTTTTGGTTTACAAAGGAAAATGTGTCCTTATTTAAAGGAGGTCCTGTGTGCCCGCCCCCCCCCACTCAGTGTTATTTGGGGTATGCGTATGCGTGTTCCCTCCTTTTGAAAACACCCCCCCCCCTAAGTCTGGTGTGTAAAGTCGATACGGGCCGGATTTTTGTGTACTATGAGCCAGACTTCGTGAAAACTACCCCTTTACTGGACATTTTGGGAATACGCATGCGGTCCTGCCGACACTTGAGTTGGGGGGGGGGGGCGGGCCTGTGTGTAGAAGAGCCATATCTAATCCACATCCAAAGCACTACATGTAGGGTATACACAGGACCCCTCATTACTTTTTTGTAAGGGCTCCTTTCACTTCTTGAGCAATGAAGATGAAGAAGAACACAAAATAAGATGAAAGTCTGTTTATAGGATGTATTATGGTTGATATGTATCCATTAGTATCAGTTTTAAATTGAAGTACCTACTTTGTTTTCTGTCATGTAGGATGATGCTTCTCTACAGTGGGTGATGAAGGCATGCTGGTTTACAAACTCAGGAGAGGAACAAAGAAGAGATATTGACGGGATCATATCTAGAGATGCGGGCCTACTACACTTCATACGAGCAAGTGTGCTAATATACATACAGGTACCCCAATAAACTTTTGTGGAACACATGTCATGCAGAAAATTATAGATCTGACGAAGATATTTTTCATTGTCAGTTGACTTGTAAAAGAATAATTGACTGAATATCACAATTGTGATTTAGATTAAAAATTAAATGTCAATATAGATGAAATATAAGTCTACGTTACGTGTGTTTTAGTAGCATTATTTCCAGTATATTCTCTGGTCCAAGTTGTTTGGTCATTTTATGTCCCATAAGAAAAAAATTATAGATCTGACGAAGATATTTTTCATTGTCAGTTGACTTGTAAAAGAATAATTGACTGAATATCACAATTGTGATTTAGATTAAAAATTAAATGTCAATATAGATGAAATATAAGTCTACGTTACGTGTGTTTTAGTAGCATTATTTCCAGTATATTCTCTGGTCCAAGTTGTTTGGTCATTTTATGTCCCATACTTAAAGGTAATACACAGTTGTAGTATGGGGTCATAAATTTGGTTCAAATGAACATATTGGACGCATATCAGATCCTACAATATTCAGTGATCGTTGTTGCGGTTGTAATCGAGTCTAAAATTATGAAATTGTAAATAATAAACTCTTTATGTTGTAAAGCTCCCTCTCAAGGTCAAGATATAAATTTTTCTTGACTAAAATCGACCAATTTGCTATTCTCGTTTGGAAGTTATATATCACATCTACATATTCTGAGATTTTCATGGTCGCAGCTACCATCTGAAATTTATCAAAATTTACCGGGAGCACCAGTAAATATTTATATTCAATTTTTCTCGAAAGCAGAAGTGTTTTAGAGGCTAAGTTTTCTAGTGCTTATAATACATCCACAGGGGCATTCAAATATATCAAAATTGTAAAGAATCACTATCCACCCAATTTTCAAAATTTCGTCAAACTTTGTATTATCTTTAACCGAGTATTATTCAATAATGAGCACGAGTTTACATCACAAGTACATTGTATTACTTATTTCATACCTTGTCTGAACCAAACTCCAGCAGTCCTATCGTCTCAATGGGATCATCAGAAATAATCTAAAATGTGGTCAGAAACTAGTCTTGTACGAAAAATAGTTTCGGTTTGCCCAATAGAACCCCAAGTGAATTTCAATCCTTCCTTTTTCTGAGCAGGTATCAGGGTGTGTGTTATTAGTCGTCATTGATTTTATTATATCTTATTTCATTTTCCATTCAACAGACTTGGGTTATCACTACAGCCCTTTCTTCTGAAAACTAGGCTACAACTTTAGTGATGAATGCAGAAGACATCTACACGGGACTACGTCTTAAAGATGCCACCCTCATATTATGAAAGAGTACAATAGAGATGGGTTTAAACTGGAATATTTACATGATATTTATTTATTATTTGTATTATATGTTTGTAGAATACCACATTCAATAAAGCCAATGAAGTTTATTATCTTGTCAACGTAGAAATAATTAAAGATAACTAATCCTCAATGAATAAACATTAAAATTCTAACAATGTAAACTACCATCTTATAAGATGAAACTGAGGACTGGGCAGAAAGATTCTCTTTGAAATTTGAGTGATAAAGATCTATCAGTCCATATCAAAGATTGAATTAATTAATGATATTTTAATTATAATTATACTTGTTGAAATTCATTTACCTCTATGGACGGGGGGGGGGGGGGGGGGGGGGGGAGCTTGCTATCCTCTTCCTGGTGCTGTTAGTACATGGCCCATGTAACGGGTTGCAATAGTGTACACATATGATTATATGTTTATATTAGAAGGACTTAGAAAGTGAACAGTTTTGAATTATAGCATTAGTGTTGGTAGAAGTAACGGCAGTGTTGATTGTTAATGGGAGGGGGGGGGGGGGTTGTTTCCCAGTGAAATTAACGGTATACCAATGTAAAGTTAATTAAAACAAGAGAAAACTATTCTTAAAAATAAAATTTATACAGGACATGGCCTCCTAACAAAAACCCTGGTACCACTTCGGTGGTGTTGTTGTGTGTTTTTTTAGGGGGGGGGGGGCAAACCAATTAAAAATTCTAGTGTTAAATTCAATTGTCTTTAAAAAAATTATGTCAAGATATTGAAATTAAACAATGGTTCACTTTCCTTTTTTCAAGTTAGAAAACTTGAATAAAATTCTAACCCTAAATTAAAAATGTTCTACTTCTAGCAAAGCTTCTGCAAAGGCTGCAAAAGGTAGAGTGAAGAGAATCCAATTGAAATGTGGACAGTAATGGAGTGAATATGGAATGGTTGATCGTAGTTGATAACGAGGGAATGCAAATGAGTGGTAACAAGTACGACTAAAAGTGAGACAGAAAGGAATTGCAAGAGGTTGTTCAGTCCATGGAACAAACCTTGCAGAAGATAATTTTCGGAGAGAAAGAGAGAAAAGGGGAATCATTAAAAAAGGAAAAGGGGCACCTATCAGTAGGAAAAGGGTACTTACAAGAAAGGAAAAGGAGGCATGTGTCATAAGGACATTGATGAGAAAGGAAAGGGGCTCTTATTAAAAAGGTAAAAGGGCACATATCAAAAGGTAAAAGGGCACTTATTAAAAATTATAAGGGGACGCGTGACAAAGTAAAGAATAAAAAAGGCTTTTATCAGATATCACAAGAGGCACTTATGAAAAGGGAACAGTGGCACTTATAAAAGGTAAAAGGGGCATCTGTCAGATTTGAATAGGGAGTAATTAACGCAGGTGGTGAGGGGGCGTTTAATAAGTAGGCCTATGTGAAAGAATGTGTTTTTATCTCGAGTTTGTCTCATCATGCGTGGGATCTGTGGGTGCTGGGGTTCCTGAAGCAACCCTATACATGGATTTTCTTCAGTGGGTGCATATAACCCATGGACATTTTTGTAAACCTTCAAATGATGAATTATCATCGAGTCCCCCCCCCTCCTCATTTTTTTTGTCAGCTCGTGACAAACATATAATCCAGATGAAATAATTTCTTCACAGCATATCAGTGGCGGATCCAGGGAGGGGGGGGGGCGAAATGGCCGCGCCCCCCCCCCCCTATTGGCGGCGCAAAAAAAAAGGAAGAAAAAAAAGAGGAAGAAAAGAAGAGAAAAAAAGAAAAGAGAAGAGAAAAGAGAAGAGAAAAGAGAAGAGAAAAGAAAAGAGAAAAGATAACGAAATTATTGAATAGAGGGGGGGGGGGGGGGGGGGGCCGGGCCGGCCGCATAAAATCTCGAGCCGCGGATTCAAAGTTAAACGTTAAGAACAGCCCCTGCGCTACAAAGGTCATCACTCTGAAGTGAGAAATTTGAAAGGGCACAATATTTTGGGTGTCTTTTAAATAGAAGTTTTATACTCGACAGTCAAATTCTAAATTAACGGTAGGGCCGCTTCACAACTCTTATTTTGCCCTTCATTTGGATTCAGCTCATACCAACTCGCTTGTGCTTGTATTTGAACTCATGTTGGTAGTAATCATGGACAGGGGCGGCAATCCTGGGCCCGATAGGGGGACACGTCCCCCAGGAAATTTAGAAATATAGCTAGAAAGAAATATAGCGAAAAGAACGTACATATTGGGCTCAGGGATTTTCTAGAATGCATAATTTCAGCATTCAACATTGAAAAAATCTCGCTCGGTCGCTACGCCCCGGCCGGCCGCGGCCCTCACCCGATAACACAAAACTATGACGCTCCCGGCCGTGATTTATCCATGGTTGGTGTAATAGATCTTTTTTCCATTTCATTTCTACTAACCTAATTGTGTGCCATCACAATCATGATTGTTTCATTTTCGCTTTAAGATGACATAGGACGAAAAAGGAGCAGACAAAGAAATATTTTTGAAAATTCTGACAAGTCGAGAACGGTACAACGAATCGTCTTCTTTCTCTAATAATCTAATGAAATGTCAAAGCTTCCGCGCATCGCTCGGGAGGGGGCAACTGAATTCAGAAAAGGATTGGGAGTCGAGAATGGTAAAACGAATCGTCTTCTTTGTCTGATAGTTTAATGAAACGTCAAAGTTTCCGCGCGCGGGAGGGGGAAAACTGAATTCAAACAAGGATTAAGAGACGTGAATGGTACAACGATTCGTCTTCTTCCTCTAATAATTTAATGAACCGTCAAAGCTTACGCGCTATGCGCGGGCAGGGGAAAACTGAATTAGACAAGGAGTCGAGAATGGTACAAAGAATCGTCTCCTTTCCCTCATAATTTAATGAAACGTCAAAGCTTTCGCGCTTTGCGCGTGAGGGGGGGGGGGAACTCAATTCAGACAAGGGTTAAGAGTCGAGAACGGTACAACGAATCGTCTTCTTTCTCTAATAATTTATTGAAATGTCAAAGCTTTCTTCGCGCGGGAGGGGAAAATTGAATTCAGACAAGGAATAGGAGTCGAGAACGGTAAAACAAATCGTCTTCTTTCTCTAATAATGAATAAAAGGTCAAAGCTTCCGCGCTTCGCGCGTAATTGGGAGGGGGGGTGACAGCGAGCTGCCCGAATATGAGTTTTTTGATATCTTTCTCGTTTATTTTGGTGATAAATAACACTTTCACAATATTATGGTCAATTTGTTGCTCGCTCACTAGCCGAATTGTGAAACCAGAAAATTACTTTTTCGGGCAAGAGGCTATAGCCCCCCCCCCCCCCGATGAAAATGTCCATAATTGTACCGGTATGGTGCTTCTAATATGACCTTGAAAAAACGGTCTGCGCAATTTTGGAATTTCCGGTGGTGGGGTCGAGGGTGTGGAAACCCCGGAAACTCTGAGGTTTTAGGCATTTGATTACGGTCAGATGAACATATTTGTATACCTTATTTGTGACACTGGCAAGACACTGATTTGCGTGAGGTCCAGCGGGCGGAGTCCCCACAAGCTCAAGGGTTTTAGGCACTAAATTACGGTCGGATGAGTATCAAGGGGCCCACCTTAGGGCCCTTAGTTGGGTCCCGGGGGCAAAGCCCCCGTTTTAGGCGTTTAATTACTTTAACTACTCTGTCTTTCTTGCTCTCTTTCTTTCTATTTCTCTTTAATATGCTTTTTCAAAAAATTCGGGGGTGGGGGA